TTATGGAGAGAATTCATTGTTATGGAGAAACTTGGTCTGACTTTTGTAAGTTATTTCCTACTGAAGTAGCTTGTAGATACTAATGATGAACCAAGAAAGAAGCGAAAACTTGAAGAAACATAAAGCAAGAGTGCTTTCTTTATTATTGTTATAGTTGAATAACAAGCTAAAGTAAAATTAACTATCCTTCTATTTACTGTTTGAATGTATTTTAATTTAAATAATGAAAAAAAACCCCCCCCAAAAAAATTTCTCAATTACTTCCTTACCTTCAATCAAGGCCATTTTTTAGTTTCCTTGACTTCTACTTGAGCAACCTGACCATTCTGTTGCCCTTTTAATAATTTGTTTTCCTCTTCAACTGCTTAATTTTTTCTTCTAAACTATTTATCTTATTCAATAATTCTTGTTTTTGCTTTTTACTTTACTCCTCAGATTTTTCTTGAAATTTGGCTACTTCTCTTTTAATTTTTAAAGCTTCTTTAGCAGTTGATAACTCTTTTTCTAGTTCTCTAGTCTTGTTTTCTAGATGAGAACTGAATGACTGAGAATCTAACTCCTCTCCAGTAAGAAGTGCGGTTTTGCTCTTTGTTTTATGACAATAACATAATCTCTTATTTCTTTTCAACCTATCACATTTTTTGCATCTTGGAAGAGTGCCATTATCGTATTCCACTTTACAGTCTTTACAAATAAAGGATATATCAAAATATTGTTCTGTCTCAGTGTGTGTTACCATTTGATGGGTAGCAGAAGCAGTGCTAAAATCAAGGTTGGTTTGGTCGTCATAATCCATAAAGCAATAACTACAGTCGTTTTCTTTCTCTTTTGCTAACTCCAAAACTCTATACTATCTTTGCTTTCTTCAGAGTTTAATTTGATGAGATTAATAAAGATATCTCTTTTAGCCTTATTTCTTACCTGTCAATGAATAGTTGATTGCTTATAATAAGGATAATATTGATAAGCATTAAAAATTACCCTTCTATATTAGCTGGGGTTAATGCTTGCTTATTGTTTATTATTTTTCGTTCTTCTTGGTAAATTTCATAAGTGATTTTTTCTTTATCTAGATACTCCTGGAGAGTTTGGGTATCATTGATTTTAAAAACATAGGGAGCAATTTTTTCCCCTTGTTCTTTTTTTAGAATGCTTCTAATAGTGCTGTAATTCTTGGGTTCCATGGTAGATTTAATAAAAATTAGTTTCATATTTATATTTTTATATAGAGATAATCCTATATTAATCTTCAGATAATAATAGAAGCTTGCTAACATAAATTTGTGTACAAGTTATTGCTGTGATAATTTAGTCAAACTAGTTAATTTTAGCTACATCAGCCTCTCATTTATAGAATGTTCACTCTGCCTGGTTTTGTTGCAGTCTGCCCCATCTGATCTTATACCTGTTTTACAACTGTGTTTGAATTTAGTCGATTGTACTCGAAAGTTTGCCAATGTTTTTTCTGATAGCCCATTAAATTTCATTATACACCGTTGTATCATATTCAAAGTTTGAGCTGTGGAATATTGTAAAACTGATCCAAGCTTTCAGGATTTACTAGAGTCCCTGAAGGAATAACCTTCTCTCCACTAATGATTCTCTTCACAGCTACTTCAACCTTCTTTCCGTTAACAGTATACTGTTATATAATGATAAACATAAATATGTGCTAGACTAAAACAATCATACATGTACAACAGTCCCACTTACAGGAATTTGCTTGATTGCCAATATCACAGCTGGAACGTGTCTTGGGCTCAGCTGCTCTCTTATTTTCTTCTTGAGTCTTTCAACAAGTTCGTCCCTTAAATATAACCCCTCTGCCATCTTTACAAACAAGACAACTCTCTCATCATCCCCCATCTTTTGACCAATTACAAGGCTGTCTTCAATCTCCTTGAAACCATCAACTACATTGTAAATTTCAGCACTACCGAAGCGAACTCCACCCGGATTAAGTGTGCTGTCAGAACGCCCTAGCACTACAACTCCACCGGTTTTTGGATTAATCCAAACAAAATCTCCGTGATACCATGTCGAAGTATAATTGTCGAAATATGCAGCACGATATTTTGAATTGTTTGAATCGTTCCAAAAGAATATTGGCATACACGGAAACGGCTTGGTACAAACCAAATCACCTGACTGGCCATAGATTGGTTTGTCTTTAATAACAATGAAAATCAAGTTAGAGATTGTTAAGCATAATGTACAGAGGAAAACGTGCTATTGACCTTGTCCAATCCATGCTTCAACGGCCATGCCTAAACAGCGACATTGAATTTCTCCTCGATAAACCGGCAGAGTGACATTATATCCAGCAAACAATGAGCATATGTCTGTGCCGCCTTGGATATCAAGAATTCTGTGTAAGATACTGGTCAAGTCCAAGTAATATTGCAATAAAACTTTAAATTTGATGATTACCCGTGATGGAACCAAGAACTATATCTTTTTTGATTGCTTCATATACGAAATCAAAGCTTTCTGGATTTAATGGTGATCCAGTGGATAGTACCACACGGATAGACTCGAGATTGTGGCGAGCTTTAGGTATGTATTCCACGTCCTGAAGAGATTGTATATACTTGGCAGAAACGCCAAACACTGTAATTCTGTAAATTTAATATAATTAGAAAACGCCAGAAACACGTCTTTGCTTTTCATAATAAAAGTTGTATTCTACCTTAACGCATCCGCCAATTCCCATAGTATAGATGGACCTGGTATGAATGGTGATCCATCATACAGTACGACAGTACAACCAACACTCAATCCACCCACCAACCAATTCCACATCATCCATCCAGTCGTTGTATAATAGAAGAACACATCATCTGGAGTCAAACCACCATGTAGCATATGTTCCTTTTTGAACTGAAGAAGTAAACCACCTGCTCTATGAGTAATACATTTGGGTTTACCAGTAGTCCCAGAAGAGAAAAGGGCAAACAGTGGATGATCAAAAGGTAACTGTTCAAAATAAAGTTCTTCATTTTCATCAGCCATACTAAGAAGCTCATTCCAAGACATGGCACCAGGTATCTCTCGAATGTCCATTGACGCAGTCTCCACAAACGGTATAACGATCACTTTCTGCAATCCAATTTCATCAAGCTTCTCTGCCACTGTTTTCACCTTGGTTAGATGTTCATGAGTTTTACCGTTATACACCACTGCATTGACCGAGAACAGGACCTTTGGATTAATTTGCGATATTCTATCAAGCACACCAGAAATTCCAAAATCAGGTGAAGTGCTTGCCCAAACACAGCCAATACTTGCTGCGGCAAGCATAGCTATGACAGCTTCCGCGCAATTGCTAATGTATGCAGCAACGCGATCTCCTGGTCGGAGGCCGAGTTTGCGAAGGGACGAAGCGACCCGACGAACGGCGTTGTAGAGTTGTAGGTATGAAAGTGTCTGATAAGGCCGGTTTTCACCTGTTACAGGTAATAAAGAATAAATAGCATCCGACACTGTGCTCTACGTGTTATTCAAGTGTTTAGTGATTGTCCACGGGCTTACCAGACGAAATCAAAGCAACCTTGTTCGGGTCGCGGCACCAAAGCAAATTTTCGGCAAAGTTTAGTCTGGCTCCAATGAACCAACCAGGAATTTCTTCCATAGGTTTAGACTCTAGGACCTAATCAAGCAGAAGAATCTGACATTGAGGCGAGAGTTTTCCTTTGTGTGCAATTAGGTGTAATAAGGAAGGCTATTTTCGTACTTGATCATAAGCTACAGAGTGAATTATTTTCGTGTAATTCCAGACGGATGCCCAAAATTCAGGAATATTGTCCACAGACCATTTACGCAAGTCCTCATAGTTGGCTATTTACATTCGGTGAAAACGTTTCTACGTTAGTCGAGACACGTCTAACGACCAATGTTTTAACTACAACGTTCGAGAGGGAAATCACCTAGCTTCAGGTTAAACTTTTTATTGACAATTCTACGAAAGTCTTCCATAGCAGTGTTGGAGACATCTTTGGGTCTCCATAATTCAACGGGGTTCAGAGGTATCGAAGAATCTGACATTAAAGCGAAAGGGGGAGACTAGTGCTAGAGAATGTTTAAAATTGAAATTTCCCCTTTTCAGAATCATCACACAAAAATTCGGTGGCTTAGTATTAGATTCCGATTTAAAAAAGCAAATATTAATATTAATATGGACAAAATTTAGTATCATAAGCGCAAGATGTCTAGTTCCAGGAAGTTGAGCGATCAAGGTTGAGTCTTTGGTAACCAGAGGGATTGAGAGAGCTGGCGCGAGAAAAGGAATTCGTGCATGACTGCTAAACGCGTTGCTGGTCTTGATTCTTGAAATAGAGTTGACTGCCAAGTTTAACAATATGAAGTCCGATTTAAATAATCTTGCACAGAAGATTGGGGAGCTTGAAGGCGAGACTGAAGAACACAAGTACTTGTTACTCGTGTAATTTGTGACTTTATATATCTTGCTATTCTTTACTAAACAAGTTTCTATCGCTTTACGCGTTTAGAGCGGTAATAGAAACGCTCTCTCCATTGAATGGTGACAGGAAATGTTTTCGACTAGTCGGAGGTGTTCTCGTCGAGCGTACCGTTAAAGACGTCTTGCCCGCTTTAAAGACAAACCATGAAGGGGTAAAATGCCGATTGAGAAGCGTGTTTTGGTATCGGTTATTCACAGAGTCTCATTCTTCTTCTAATTGCGCATAGATCAAACGAGTAATGGATCAATTAATCAAAACTTATAAAGAGAAAGAAGACGAATTCACAGCTTTTCAGAAAGAGTATAATATCAAGTTAGTCCCAAGGACATGAAATTGTATGAAAAGTGGTGAGGCATTCATAATAATAGCGTTTACATCAGATATCATTTAATGCGTTTATTAAAACTCTATAAGTAACTTATTACACAGTATGAAACCTAGTATTATTCAAACTTGGGATAATCTTTCCCATAATCAAGAGACGAATGATCCCTTGAAATTATCTTCCACACAGCAGCAAATACGACACCAAATAATGATAGGGTAATAAGTGGATGATTCCATATTCCGTTGTATGTCGTCTAGTAAAGATGGAACGAGATTAGCTATCAATCGGTCGCCAACAGTCAATAATAGTTCTATTACACTCTTTACCTTTGCGAATCTCTCAATGATGCTAATTGTACTTTTGCCAATGAGTCTATTTCCTTTAGCATCGTTAATAGCATCATATAACTCTGCTTCATCATAGACCGAAAATAAAGTTCCTCGTATTGTGTTGTCATAATATTCATCGCCCTATTCATCGTAAAAGTAATATGATCAATCATATGTAATACAGTAGAAGTAGACAACAAATAGACTAATGTATCTTCTTTCCGCATTCTTTCCCTTGTCTGTCGCGCTTCAACCAAACAACCACATTACCTCAGCATCGTGAATAACAACAGTGGGAAGGCTTGCTGTCTTAATTCCGTACATGCGTCCGATATATTCTGACCATCTAGTTCCATCAATCCATGCAAACACAACCTCTCTTCCTCCTTCATTTCCACCTGCTTCGTTCACCTTTGAGTAATATTTTACTGCGACGTTCCTTAGTGACTTCTTTGCATCAATAAACTTCTTTTCTTTTGGATTCATTATACCGAGTACAACCAGTTTCGATCCTTTGAGTATATCCTCCGAATTGCCCAGATCTATTTGCGTGAGCAGCGGATATTTATGTTTTTGAATAAAGGCTTTGAGAGATTTGACGTCGGTGAATGCGTTCGACGCACTCGAGGTATATCGGTAATTAATATCGGATTTAACGACTAGAAACGTCGGAATTTCAGAGATACCAAGTTGTAGTAGGATTTCTGAATCGTCCGAAACGTAGAATTTGCCAATAGAGAAGAATGTTTTAGAGAGGTCGTTGATTGTTGTCTGGGATTTAAAGAAGGGTAGGGTCAATCAAATAGCCTGGCATAGTATTACAAACATCAGCATTTCTCAGATTCACACGATACCCACCATTGCTTCAGCAGAAGTTTTTGAATCGTAGACGAATAAAAAGAACAAATCCTCCTTTTCTCTGATTTCAGCAAAGTCATCAGCATTTATTTTTATGGCGCCAGCAGCGACGGCCTTCTCAGCCCACTTTTTCAATTCTTCCAATTTACGCGAGCCTCTGTAATCCGTTGTTTCGCCATTTATCAACAGTTTCAGAGTAGGGTATCCCCTTATTGAGTAATTATTGCAGATATCTTATATATCAAATAGTTTGAGTGAGTATGATGCCAATAAAGAACGAGGAAACTTTTGTGCACCTCGACTCATCCCTTTCCTAACAACCTCGTAGTTTAATTTCTCAAATACAACATACCTCCCTCGACAGTACAATCTACTGTCCCAACATTAACTTTTCCTTTCAAGACATTCCCCAGCTTTTCCCATGTTGGCTTCAATGTCTGACAATGTGGACACCAAGGAGCAAAGAACTTGATGAACCATGGGCCTGATCGTGCCAGCTCGTCAAAATTTTTACTATTCAACTCTACTACTTCGCCATTAGGGTTGATTGGTTTGACGTAGTATTTTGAGGCACTGGATACGATAAATTCTGTAAGTTCTTCGGGAGTGCGCTGACCATTGTATTTTTGGACCATTTTGCCATTTGCGAAACTGCACGTAATCGTGATATCGAAAGCGGAAGAACAGAGTTAGAGGTAGCCCTCCCCGAAAAAAAGATCGTTTGATACAATTAAGACTCATAACACTTACAGCAAAAGAGATGGTGTTCCGCTAATGTCATACTTATCACCGATATCTATTAATGATTGTTTTATTCTCCAGAATCATGTTGCCAGAATCCGAGAAACTTTAAAAATAGCTTAAATAGATACTTACCCCCTTCCAAGGTGATGTCAACTTGTCCAAAACGAAAATTTTTTATACCTTCCAGATCAGCGTGATCGAGTGCCAGAGCCTTCCATGTTGGCTCTATTCACAAACGACGCAAGGGTTGGTTACTTTACTATTTCCTATCTCGTGCCACACGTTAAAGCGTGAAATTAATAATTCGCATACCAAAGTCTTTACAATGTGCGCAATACGGACTGTAGAAATTCACTAGCCTGAAGAAAGTCTTGATATTAAGATACTGTATACTTGCTGATTGCATATCTTTACAAACTTTTGTATACTTACCACGTTCCTTTGGATATATTGTCAAAGTTGGACTGAGTCAGAGATAATATTTCGGCACGCAAGGTGCTCACGAAAAAGATTAATACAACTACTAATATCGGAAGCTGCATCCTCTTGTTCTATTGTAAGGAGAAGAACTCGACTTGCATTTTAAAAATCCAAACAGTTATGTTATTGCTTCATTAGGGCAGGATTACTAAGACGAGAGTGGAATGGGGATAGAGTTGCCAACTATGGTGTGATCTGTTTCTGAAAGTTTCATAATAGCTCGCACAAAAACTGCAAAATAATTAGATTAGTATTAGTGTTAGGATTTATACATTTAAAGTGATGCTTAAACTACAATACAACTTTGAAACTAACTATTACGCCGCCAAGAAGTGACATTACTTAATTAGTTCTCATACTATCACAATTACTATGAGAAAGGCTGTTTCTTGGGTGATGTGATGTCATTGAAGTTAATATGTGCAAGCATAGGACCGATAGAAATGGTTCTAAAGTTATAAGTTGACGAAAGTCTCTGCTCACTATGTTGAAATAGTAATAGTACTATACCAATTTGCAGTAGATACTACTCCTTGTCTTTCTTGTTATTGCTGGCTCCGTTATAGAAAACATAAATCCTCTTAATACATATTATAAGGAATTTGGCATTGACAATTTTCTCAAAAGCTTATTTTGCTTCATTGGTATCTTATTTACGGAAGCCGCGACACTATTTTATTACCCAGTTAATGCTCACAATTGTAAATGCAGCAACAAGAATCTTCTTCTTAAACACTCGTTGTTACAAGATAGCGAATATTTATTAGGGCGCAAAGCCACGATTCTACATTCTATTAACACCTTAATATTAAGACCTTTATTAGTACAATATTATGTAAGGAAAGATAGTCTCGATATAACGACACTGCTATATAACGACAGAAATCTTAGAACAAAAAATTTTATATTGCTTTGGTTGTCGTATGTAAGTTAATTCTCGACATAAAGACATTCTCGTCGTTATATCGAGACCCACTTGTATTTACAATTCGAAACTTTAAAAAATTGTAGGTTACTATTTTGGTATTCATAATAATAATGCATCGTGTGATCCAGTTGTACAACTATGAGACAGACCTATTACTATATGCTTATACTAACTGAATTTATCCCTGCGTTTAGACATCGACTCTCTATGGATAAACCGTTCTTTCAGTCTTGTCCAATGCGACTATCAACAATAAAATCCGCCACTGCAAAACCATCCACATTTATCCATACTTTTTCGCATATGTTCCAAAGGTATTTCTCAAATGTAGCGTTTAAAAGCGTACGCGACTCGGAGGTGATGTTGATCGTTAGAGACTGAGATAGCAGAGAAAGTAACTGTTGCACGGAGGTTGCTGAATAAAGCAAGATGATAACTCGACTTGAAATGACTTTTAGGAGCTAATCGAATACTTGGAATAATTACGCACCTGTCCAGCAAATAGGAGGGCTTTCTTCAAGGATCCACAATAAATAATAACACGTATCTTCTGCAATCCACATCATTTCCTCATTTTCTGAGCTACTACTGACTTTTTCGATTTTCTCTCTCTTTCCTTCATATATAATTGTCATCTCATGAATAACGCTCTTTACTATACTCTTCCCAATACTCTCATCAAACGTTCCAATATCTACAATCATTCTAACCAAACATGCTCGTGGATCGCGCTGCAGATTTTGCAGCAAGTTGAAGCAGCAATGATAGTTAAGAAATGACAGGGGATGGAGGAGCGAGACCAAACGAGAAAGGGTAGAATGGAGTGACTGGTAGGGAAAGTATGTGACTGGTACGATAACTTTGTAAAGAAAAGAAAAAAAAATGGTTGTTGAATAGCCCAAAAAATTAAGAGCAGAATACGTTTCAGGGAACAATTCCTATTATAATTACCGCAGAGCTTTCTTATAGTGTCGCCAAATCTTTTCAGGCACGTTTCAAATATAATCTCGAATTGATTCTCTTCTTCCTCGCCTCCCTTGATTGGTGATTTATAATAACTCTTTTCTTTCCCTGCTTCCGCTCTTTTCTCCATTTCTTCACCTAGTCTTTCTCGAATTCCTTTCAACTTTGTTTCCGTCTTTCTAGTCTCTTGAACAACCATATTTTCAATCTTAACTTCCATGAAAGAAACAATTTTTTCTATCGCCCTTTGCATTGCATCGATCGACGTGGCTGATATTGTCTGGCGAAATGATGAATAATGGAGATTGAATGCTTGTATGTGTTGAAGAAAGGACGTTGCATATGATACATCGTAAGAGATAGAGGGAACTTATGATTTGGAAATAAATAGATAAAAAAAGTCAGTATATTTAAGAGTTAGTAATCGAAATAATTGAGTAAACATATACATTCGCTATCGTTAAATATGGCCAAGTTATCGTCATCGATACATGTCTTTAGAACTTGAGTTGTCTCTGGACGAGTACGGGTCATCCTCAGATCACAGTCTGATTCCGGCTCTGATTTTGTTTTTCGCCTTTTCAAAAGTTGTTTCTTTGATTCTATTTCTGCAAATCATGAATCAGTATTCACGCTTACAGTTATTATAGTATAGTGCTTCGTTTGACGCTCGACCTCAATTCGGTAGTTAAACAATATCTATTTACCAAGTTCGGCAACACATAACTTTTGTTTAAGAGATTCTATTTCAGCCAATGCACGTTTTTTCCATTCGAGATTCTCATGCGTACTGTCTAATAAATGGTGTTGTTTGTATGGGATTTCCGTTGTGCATGTATTTACAGGACACGTCGGCTGACTTGTCTCGTTTGATTTGAGCGCGAGATTGTGGGTAATTTGACGAATATAGTCTGAGTAATAAGACATTTGAGAGAGCGTGCGCGTACGTTAATAGTAGTAATAATATAGTATTAGTCTTGGATTTATTGCTAGACACCTTGTAGTGTAATATCTGCTGGTTTGGAATGCATTATCGAAATTGCCTTGTAGAGTTATCGAAATGCGTTTTGTTAACAAGTGAGGGTGCTAATATAATGATATAATGCAAATTTCTACCATTGCGAGTGTTACTTTTGAGATAATTTGATTATATTCCAAGTGTGACATATTAGTGCTTACTAGAGGGAAAAGTTTGAGACATGTTATTTATAATATTTAAAATTTAAACTCAGAATTCGTCGCGTTGTTGCTATTATTGTTGTGTCCAATAACATCTTATATTCGCTTCTGGCTTACGTGTGCCATGATATTTGTAATGGTTAATTCGCTTCGCCGACACTTTCTAAAAGGTTTGTGCATCTACTCGCATGAAATACACAATACTTATCTGTCAGAAAAGATAACGAACACGTGACTTATCCAACAGTATTTGATACTAACCAATTAAAGCAAGAAGTATAAACTTTAAGAATGAAACTAACACGAGATCAACGGATAGAAAGAAAACTGTCAAAAAGCTTAATATTAACTTGACAAGTATGTTAACCACAAAACAAAGAAGTTTATTGAAACGGTGACGCACGGAAAAATGTCATGGTCTGACATGTAAACAGCCTGTTCTTATGCCCCATATACAATAGCACCAAGACTCGCTTACTAAGTAGAATGATCTATTAATGGTCTAAAAATGAAACATAGGAACAGAAAAAGCAGAAGTAGTTAATCAGACGAAATAATGGTTAGACCAATAGTTTTCTCGGTTTGTTGTTTATCCTTGGTATTTGTATGTCTTACATGTGAGAGAGCACAAAAATAATGTACCTTTATTTAGGTTAGTGCCGATAAAGGGCAATCACAACATTGAAAAAAGTAATTAGATACGATATATCTGAAACCATTCGTGAAAAGGAGTGCAGGACTGTGGCCGTGAACAACTTGTGAAATTGGGGCGCTGCACATAGACTGATTCGACAGTATATCAGAATATTCTGTGTCTCCCTTATCTCCCTCTCTCCCTCTCTCGTGCGCGTACATCGATGATGCTAGTTGATTGCCCTGAAAGGCTTAACCTGTTTGTATAGCGACGATAAAACGATGATCAAATGCCCCGTTTTTAGAATTCATGGAACCTCCCCCTTTCATTTGTTGGGGATGAAGAAGGTGTCGACAAGCGTAATGTAAGAATTCTCAATGTTTTAAATGGGGATGATCAAGTGACTTTCTAAAACTTTATTGGGGTTTCTTTTTTGTATGCCGCATATATAATTGTGTAACAGAATAAATAATTTTTTGGTCGTACTCGCAACGTAGCTAGTTTTGTTTGGCGGGAATCGGCTGTATTTGCAATTTGCAATTAATGTGGGCCGGACGTTCCGAAGAAAAAAAAAAGTGACATTTCCATAGTTTTACTGTAGGACGAGACCCAAAATGTCATCACCTGCCAAGTAACTTGGCAATAAATTTGCATTCCGATAGTCACGTTGCAGAGCAGCATGTGAAAAGACGAGAGTGTTCTTTGAATAGCGAAACTGGACGTTTGTAATACTAATAAGGATGCTTAAAATTAGCTAATATTACGCACTATCACGCTCGCGTGACCATGCAAAATGAAAATAAAATAAGGATAACTGAGTGACAGCAGAAAGGGGCTTGCCAATTGTGTGATAATACGAGCCCAAGAATTAATAATAATCCATCAAATGATATTAATGTTATTATTAGTGTTACATGTCACCGTACCCAGAACTTTGAAATGTCCCAAACCAGTCAATGTAAACTGTGTATCAGTTCAGTCTAGTATTATGCGGTTTGCTGATCAAGCTGCAAACTTCTTTTTTTTTTTTTACAATCTGATCAGTGGTCCGATGCACCGTACCCCTCATTTACTATCCTCCCGAGTCGCCAATCTTTTTTCATTCGGAACTTGATATCGGGTTTAAAACAGACAAGATGGATCTTTTCATCTCTGAAAAAAAAACAACTGTACACAGATCTCTTTGTTTACGATTGATAACTTTCCCGTCCCAAGAAACATTTTTACAAACGCATATCTCCGTGATGGGCGATCACCTGACAGCATCTTGAAATCTACTTTCAACTCCGAATTAAGTGATTGCGCAAGTCATGCTATAAACCTAGATTTATTTGTGGAACTGTTGAGAAGTTTATTCCCCCCAAATTAGATATTCAGGTCATGCGATTGAGAATAATGAATAGAATGTCTAGATGAACAATGGTGATACTTGCGCAAATTAAAAATAAACGTCACTTACAAATAACTTCATTCAAAGGGATGTAACCTGTTATGAAGTTGCCCGAAACCATCGATCTTCATCTATCATCTTCCATCTACAACTGTTCAAGTGCACCACTCACATCCTTTCTCTAGATAATCTGTCATATCGCATCTTGTCTGCTCGTTGCAAGTCTTCATGTGGAAACCCCAAGATAAGAACCCAATTTTACTATTCTTAACTGAACAAGGTGGTTTTTTTTTCTACTGCTTTTTTGGGTATTGCAAGTTGTGTATTTCCTATTTCAGGTTTCTAACCGCTTTTTGCTTGTTGATAAGGGAGATAAGTACTAATCCCAAAATGGCTTATCTGGGTATCGAATGATTACGTTACCGTCGGTATCTGACATACTCTATTATGACTCACTGTCCCGTGTGATTAAATTATATTACCCATACATATTAAACTACTCCTGGTGTAACCGGTGCAACCGGTGTAACATAAAATAGATAAACTTTGTACATCGTTCTACATTGTATACATTGATCATCTATCTACCGCATCTACGGTATGACATCCCCGATGTAAATTACACAAAAAAAAAGTGTTTAAAAAGCCGTCCCATCTGCCCTTCCCCGTCTCTTCATAGCAAATCAATCAAACAACTGTCAATCAAACAACTACAAACTGTTATTCACCCAACTAACAACACACACAACACACCCAACACACACACTTTTTTTCACGAATTATCACGAAATTTAACGAAATGGCATTTTTACCCAAGAGCAACACTGAAACTCTCCGCAAGTACCTCGCCCTCGACCAAGGTGGCCGAGTCCAAGCCGAATATATCTGGATCGATGGTAACAATGGTCTCCGATCCAAGACGACGACTCTCGACTTTAAACCCACCGATGTCTCTGAACTGAAGGAATGGAATTTCGACGGTTCATCCACTAATCAAGCTCCTGGTAACAACTCTGATGTATTGCTTCGTCCTGCCGCCATATTCAGGGATCCGTTCCGTGGTGGCGATAACATCCTCGTCCTGGCCGAATGCTACAATAATGATGGTACCCCTAACAAGACAAACTACCGCCATTCCGCTGCAAAGATCTTTGAGAAACATGCCGACGCGCATACCTGGTTCGGTCTTGAGCAAGAGTATACCTTGTTCGATTCGGAAGGAACCGTGTTGGGTTGGCCAAAGAGCGGATATCCGGCACCCCAAGGACCTTATTACTGTTCGGTTGGTGCTGATGTGGCATACGGGAGAGATATTGTCGAAGCACACTATAAAGCCTGTATGTACGCTGGTGTCAATATTTCTGGTATTAATGCTGAAGTCATGCCTGGTAAGGAATCTGATTAATGTTTAAATTCGAATTTTTTTTGTCGATATTTTGTTACGAATTTACTTATGTGCTTGCTTTTCTCTCTTTTCCCAAAAAAAGGTCAATGGGAATTCCAAATCGGTCCATGTGAAGGAATCTCGATGGGAGACCATCTTTGGATGGCTCGTTTCCTCCTCAAGCGTGTCGCAGAAGATTTTGGTGTCGTAGTATCTTTCCATCCGAAACCAATAAAAGGAGACTGGAATGGTGCCGGATGTCACACAAATTATTCGACAGAAGCAATGCGTAAAGAAGGAGGTATCAAGGCTATCTACGAAGCTATAGAAAAACTGGCTCAACGTCATGCCGAACACATAGCAGTATACGGAGAAGACAACGAACAGCGATTAACGGGTGAACACGAAACGGGACACATTTCGCAATTCTCATCAGGTGTGGCTCATCGTGGCGCAAGTATTAGGATTCCTCGACATGTGGCAGCCGAAGGATGCGGTTATTTGGAAGACAGAAGACCTGCATCGAATATCGATCCGTACCGTGTGACCGCTATCATTACTGAAACGACGCTCGGATAGGCCGGCGAGAGAACGACATCGGAATAACAGCTGTCTTGGTTATATAATGTTCTTGGATATTCTCTTCTGATTAACGTATTTTCATAGTAGTTGTTTCAAAATAGTAAAACTCTAGCATTAGCATGTTACTTTATATATATATTCCTAGGAGCTAATAATGTGCGCACTTTTTACTTTTTTTATCAGAGTATAAATTGGGAAATGGGTTTTAATTTTATTAATCACACATTACAAACATATTTTTTGTCCACACTTCATCATATTATTATTATACATTTCTCATTTTGTATCATATAGAATTCAAAAAGACAAAAAAAATATAAATAGTTAATTTAGCTCTGTTCGGCGAAAAAAAATTAGCTCTTGATAACATTAGCGGAAAAGTCGCGAAGTTCCGCGAAATGTTTGACAGAGATTTTTTTTTTGATTTTTTTTTTTATATTCAAGTGATTTATTTGGTTGGGTCTCCTCTTTCTTACATATGCATTTTTTTTCTACGAAGGACTTGTGCGCAGAGTCCGAAGTAAGGTTTACACACTCCCTCCCCTCCCTTGTAAATTCTTTCCATCCCTTGTAACATAATCTGTTGTATAATTTTGGCATTTCCCTTCCTTCAGGTTCATCTTCCTAACATAAGAATTTTTTAAGACTAAATATATGTGTCGACAGCAGACAGAAAAAAAAAATACTCTCTAGGCAATGCGTCATGTATAATAATAATAAAAGGAAGACTGTATGCAATCATTGTCACATTTCCCATACAAATCACGTCTACGATTGATATATATGCGATGAGAATTGTCGATATTGACTGGTTTTTACGTTTACAGTGAATCTTGCCAAAGTAAGAAGAACGAAAGCGTTAACTAATGAGAACTATGAATAACATGCATGTAATAATGTAATGCTAACTCGAATGGCGTGGAGAGGAAAAAAGCGATGCAAGTTGAATCATTAGATTTTTAGCGATTCGATTCGATTATCTTAATAAAACGGGTCGATTGGATATATGGACATTTATGGGAAAATGCGAGAAAGGGACGCACATCAACACAAGTGGCAAAATGATGACAATGTGACAAGCGTTACTTCCACGAAGAAGAGAACGATAGTAGATTCGAAAGGTCAATTTATCATGCGTGCAGTGTGTGGTGTGAGAGAGTTACGCACATCAGCACAAGTGGCAAAATAATAACAATGTGACAAGCGTTACTTCCATGAAAAAGAGAACGATAGAGATTCGAAAGGTCAATTTATCATGCGTGCAGCGTGTGGTGTGAGAGAGTTGTGCACAAGTTCGTAGCGATGTATAAACCTATCACCACACATTCTGTAAAGAGAAATCACGTTGGCTATGACAGTTGACTGAACTGTTGTATCTTTTAACACTGTCATGTCTTTGGGATTGCGATTTATACGTTTGGCAAATATGAACAAATACGTCTCTCTTTGAATACGTTGACAGAAAGAATCAGCTTCAAATAGTGTACGACTTTTATTGGCGAGCAAGGAGTTTTTATACTTGCGATAAGACAAAATCTATTATTTATCCGAGCAATCAGCAGACGTGCGATTATCTATTACAAAAAATTACAATTGTTTCGATGTACCAATCATATAAATGCTGTTTATCTCATAAGCAATGATCTATAGATATCCCGCCAAACACCGAAATTTACCCAGTCGTGATTGGAGTCTTGCTGTAACAAAGCGAATAGTACATACAGAATCATCCCCTCTCCTGATCCAATTACATGTTTATCTCGACTTTTAACAAGGCTCGAAATCAGTTCTACAACATTGCTGTTTCACAAATAGTAAAGCATTGAGATGATGCACGATAAATCAAATCTATTGTCTTTTTTCTTTTCTCATAGTTTGGCTTGCTATTTGTTCCCTTCCCGTTTTTTTCTTTCCCACTAACCATTTCAGACCTTATCGTAATTACGGGATGCATGCCTGATTATGTGTTCCAGATCTATCTCGTTATTGACAAACGGGCTGCGATAATATTGATAAATATTTATTACCAGTTTATAATAAGGCAAATTGTACACTTTATCGTTTAATATTAATATCAAATTTATATTGACAGCTTTTAACCTATAACCACCCACATGAACCGAGCTAACGCTGTTGCATAGTATAACCTTTGTTGCGTCTTGCGGAAACGTCTGTCTTGTCGTACGCGCAAGCCTGTATACCAAAAAACGGACGTTAGCAAACATTTATTGCCTGGTGTGAGCCAATCCGGGACTAGTTCTGAACCAGAACTGGACTAGTTAATGTGAGAATGAACTATCCTAAACCTATGTTTTGAAAACATGTTTATCATGTCACGACAGCGTTGTATGATCATTGGAGCTCACATGCAGTAGTGCAGTAACTATATAGCGTATGTTGACTGAATCACAAGCTGTGGTATACTAATGACTAGCTACTGCTGATAAGTGAATGATTATGATATAGGTAAGACGTTCCACAGATCTACAAACGCGAACTAAGTACTTGTTTATTATTTATTATCTTGCATGCTTCTATTTCGTTTTATTAAATTACCGTTTCAAGTGTCCGTGTATCTAACATGTACAGTATCTAAAGAAATATTATTATTAAATTCGAATAAAAAATGATCAATTGACTGTAGTTGAGAAATTGTACCAGCAAGCGTGCAGTTCCGACTTCGTATGTGGATGGTATAAGGCCAGAATTCATTGAACATACCGAAATTATTTCATACTTTCGTGACTTATATTCGGTATAATGCTCAAGAGAACGGCTCGGTGACTGTTTTTCAAGACAATAATTTTTTAATGATAGAACTTTACGACATTTGATCCTAGCAAATTTAATCGCCAGCGGTAATCTTTGGCCTTTACAGTAACATAATTGGAAACGTCAAAGCTGAAATTTCTGACCGACTTCAACAATGTCGGAAAGCTTCATAGCGTTGAAATGGGCAATGTCTATAGCGTGACTCTTGAATTTTATACTCTCAATACCGCATATAACTAATGCCTGGATCGTAATGATTTTAATGCTGCACACGGCGAAAAAAAAAACACTCGAGTATTCAGAGAAAATTTCTTTAGTTGGTTAGAACTCCTTGCTTCAATCCAATCGAAGAGAAAGATTTCTTCTCAAATAGCTAATAGAAAATCCTTCCTGTAATTATTGTGGCAGATTAAAACGACAACGAAATTTGGGTCCTCTCTTGATTAACAAACGTCACCCTAAATTCCCAAAAAATTGTCCCGTCGGTTTAATCTGTCACAGTTATTCCTATCTCATCTCGTGTATCTACCTGAATTCAATAACTTACTTTTAATGCCTCAACAGCGTCTATTATTTTCAAGTATAGGATTTCCTTGATTTGTTCATGTGATGTTACTAATAAATTTATTACTATCCTTTATAATTAACTTTACACTCTCATCAACGAATTGTATTCTAACAACTTAATTTACTTCAACCATCATTGCTAAAGTTTGAACAGACAAACAATCCGGATGAATATTTACCTCCAATAGCATATATCACAACAGCCATGACTAGAACTAGCACTCATTATTCCTCATCACGTTAAACAAGTTTCTTGGTCTCAAAGAAACTCTTCAGATGCCGCATTTGCCACAAACAAGTTATCCCCAGTACAATCAATTGCACTATAGTCCACACTACCGCGCGTGAATTAGTAAGTTCAGATTGATCTCTGAATTCTGCTTCTCTTTCCTAATAATGGTATAAAAAGGAATGTAAACCAAATTCTTTGTATGTCTTTGTCACATGCAAATTTGTGGGATTCTACAGGACTAATAGAGCAAATTTATCAACTTTAGTTGTACTTACTCTCTGATAATTTTGTTCTCTCCTAATATCAGCGATGCGATGGTTCAGATCACGCACCCGCTGAGATAGATCTATCGAACAATTAGTCAGTTCTGTATTCTCTCAAAAAGTCCATCATAGTGAGAGCGTAGAGTTTTCGCTACAGTTGTTCTTTCATACTTCTCAAACCTCCAACAATCTCGCCTATGACCACCCTCCTCCTTGCCTCTTTCTCTTCCCACACTTCCTTACCGGTAATTTGATTAGCTTCAGTATCGTCACTGTTCATAGCATCTCCGATAGCCATATCCAAATGTAACCTAACCTGAATGCTCGAGAACCACGAGCTAGAGTTCGTTCGGAAGCAAATGGCATGATCGCCTGACTCGACTGCCGTGAATGTAAAAGTGCCACTCGACGGACCTTTTTGATTAACTAAACGAGAATTATGCGGTAGTTCTTCAACTGTAATTTGGATCCCGAGGCCTCGATTCTCGTGGAACTGTTTTTGTTTATCGGACCATTCTTCGGCTTTAAAAGTACCTATAAACGAGACGTTGAAACAGATGTCAGAGAAGCAGTATAGACGTCGATGAATGAAATATTTGTCCAGAGAATGTGAGCGATTCAAAACATCCTAAATATAATCATACAAGATTTATCTGATAACCTATTCATAGCTTACCAACAACGACAGTTTCTTTCGGAAGTTCTTCAAGAAAACACTTTTGCTCACTCCCTTCCAAATAGAAATACAACGCCTCTGTCCGTAGACAAAACAGAGCCAGCAGAGTGAGGGCTACCAGCATGAACGATACCCTAAAATTCAATTGCTTGCTACCCATCATCTCTCTTTCGAATCTATGGTGGTCGTTATTATCTCTTCTAAACAAAATATTGCGTTACTCAAAAACCTCGATGTCTGCGTTCACGTGAATGTTGACCAAAAATCTAATTTAATAAAATTACTGATTAAATGTTTACAGCTTCTCAACAAAGATATAGTTAAAAATTGTCATTTTGATTGTACAGGTACATTCTAATTGTATGTATAAGTACGCTGTGAGGCCAGATTGTCCGAATCGCTGTACTTATGAAACTTTGTTGCCAGCAGTTAATTTAGATTATATATAAGTAGCTTTTGCAAACACCTTCCGATCATCGAATCATGCAATACGGTTCCGTAATAAAAGCGCATATTAATATTTACAGACTATTCTAAAATTCGTAAATGCCGATGACATATGGCATGTAAGTTTTTGTATATGCAACAACCCGATGAGAATGATTTTTATGCTAGCAGTGATAAAAACTATGTTAATTACTGACATGATTCGATATTTATATGTAAAATCTCCTCAGTCACGCGCGAGTTGACCATTCTTGTACCAAAAACGATATAAGCAGTTGTTAATTTCGCTAGCCAACACCATCTTCAGGTTTATAAAGTTCTTCGTATTTACTGTGGTTGGCAAAAGCGGTTGCTAATTAATTGTTCATAAACGAAGTAGACGTGGATACTGCAAGTTAATTAGCATTCGATAGAAGAGTGATCATTTTGCTCTCCCCTGTTGTCGTAATATTTTATCACTGACAACACAGTAACAGTAAAAGAGCTATTCAACATTAATTGGTTTAATGTCATGGATATTCTGAATGCTTTCTGATGCTATTTATTTGAACCTGCTGCACACCATGATGTTGCCACTTAGTTGAACTGCTGAATTGATAAGAGATTGGACAATCAAACCGATTGCTTCTAAAAACCTTTGGGACCAGGTGTTATTCAATGCTTCCCAGTCCTCTGGGTGTGAGACAATAGCATGGGAGAGAAATTATGTATAAGAAAACGTGAATGCTTGGATGGCATATGGTTAGAGAGAATTTTTGCATAGCGGGAAAGGGAAAGAAATGAATACAGCTTTGTCCAGGAGACTTTTCAGAGTAAGAGTGGACGTATCCATGAACCCAGTGAGATGCCGAATAAATACGATATGCGCAAATTAGTAATACGCAGAAAAATTACGTACGGCGTAGACATATACGCTCGAAGGAGAAAAAGTTTATCTGACGTTCAGTCGTGCAAAGGCTATGCTAGCTGTTAGTGAAGCGCGCTTGGTATTTTACAAAGAGGCGGTATGACGCGTAACTAATGGCCGAGAATGAATTCGGGATCGGACGGTAAAAAGTACCGCACAATGGCTCTCGACAAGATGATTCGCTGTCATTCTCATTTATACGTATAGAAAAGTCTCTCGAAACGACAGATCTGTAGCCGCTTGGAATTAAACATCATTGTAAAGAAACTCTTGCCTTTCGCAGTAGGTTATTTTCTCGGTAGTACAGGATTAAACCATGCTGTTGCACAATTTTCTACATACTCGAGTTCTTCGATAGGGAAGCGACAGATTTATACTCATAATGTGCCTTTGCTCCTCTTATTATTGGTGGACGTGAGAACTCTTATTTAAAAGCCGCCTTGCTATAAATAAATGGCATCAAAAGCTTAAGATGAGATGCCACTTTTATCATAGTGTAGCCAATTTAAGAGACTGTGCGAGCTCAAGTATAAATCTAATACACCGAAAGGAAGTTTATCTCCACTACTGTATTTTCTCATAGAATAACCCACCTACCAAAATGTTATTACGGCGAAACCTTACGTTGGCGTTCTTTCTTGTTTTTATAATATTTGCTTTAATTGCCGCGGCCGAGGATACTGATGTGGTTGGCGAAGATGCAACAAATGTTACGGAAGCTCGCAATAAAGAGGCAGCAGAGGAGATAGAGGTGTGAATCGTGCCAAGATGTTTTGCTCGTATAAATCACTTTCGACCTTGTTAACCTATACTTTCACATACGCACCTCACAATACATGCATATGTATACTACCATTAGAAACAAGTGGTGAACGTGGAAGCCGAAGATCCGGACCTCGTTGGCTCTGTATTTGATATCGACTTTCAACATCCTGGTCCTCATGAGCCATTGATGTCTGCCGAGGATTCGCAATCCTTTTTCTTCTCAATCTTGATGATAATATTTTCTGAAATTGGGGACAAGACGTTCTTTATTGCTGCTATCATGGCGATGCGCAACTCGCGTCTCGTAGTATTCTCTGCCGCCTTTGCATCGCTTGTAGTGATGTCTATTCTTTCCGCAGCTCTTGGTCATACGGTTCCCAACATCATCCCTCGCAAGTATACTGCCTACCTCGCATCGCTTTTATTTATGTTCTTTGGTGCCCGTATGGCTTACGAGAGTTGGCACATGTCATCTGACGAGGCCAAACAGGAATTCGAAGAAGTACAGGCAGAGTTGAAAGAAAAAGAGGACATTGAAATGATGGAAGCAGTCGAGAGTGGATTGGTCAATGATAAAGGGGAAAGCGGCGGATTTAAACAGGGCTTGTCAAATTTGTGCCAATTCTTATTTTCACCGACTTTTACGCAAACCTTTATTCTAACCTTTTTGGGAGAATGGGGGGATCGGTCACAAATTGCTACCATTGCTTTGGCAGCATCCAAGGTAAAATTTCATTTAAATGGCGGGAGGGGAAGATAAAGTTGGGAAGAGTATGTTCGTGTTCACCCGCACTTTATCTTTCAGCTAATACAATTCCTTGAATCAGGATGTATATTTTGTAACTCTGGGAACAATCACTGGACATAGCTTGTGTACGGGATTGGCAGTTGTTGGTGGCGGCTTACTGGCTGAAAGGATTTCTGTTAGAACAAGTAAGTATTCTGTATTCGAATCGGTAATGATGCAGGATTCACACTTAGTTTTTTTTTCTTTGCCTTTTTCCATCGCGATTAGTTACATTATCAGGAGCAGTACTTTTTATAATATTTGGCGTTCTATATCTCTACGAAGCAGTGTACGACGTGTAATCATTAACTCTGCATTATTATATTATTCACCAACGCAACAACACAACTGAATTTGTCTTGGTATCAAACATTAATTATTTATATATGTCATGATGACTTATATATATATATATAATAACTAGATAATTGCTACCACGATACCTTAGAGTGCTCGCTAAAGATATTTGTGCAAGATTTATTTGTAACCTATAAACAGAAAGAGCATTTTCACCAAATCTGTATTAGTACACTATCAATTGATTTGTATAGTCTGAAAACGTGATCATGCTACAAATATCTGTGAGCATGACCGCATATTTGTATTGTGACGTTTAGAAAGCTACCAATAAACGTACATTCAAGCAAGAAGTTATAAACCAACTATGATCTCATCGCATTTTCAATGTAGGAAACTTGTGAAGAAACGATCTATACGTAAATCTGATCCAAAGTATTAGTACGCGTAGCTATTATTTAAGCCCCCGCTTTAGACGCATGCTACTTTCTAGAGATGACGCGCTCCACATGTGGATACTTTAACACAATTATATGGATTACCAGAATCCGGATTTTTTATGGACTCTCTGCCTAGTTCTCTCATCACTTGTAAAACATTGTTTACAATAATCTCGCGAGCATTATAATCTTATTTTTCTTTATAAAAGATTAACCTTTTTTTTTCCCTTTTGGGATAAAAAAAAAAGCAAAAGCAAAAATGTCTATTTACAGTATAGTCCATTGCAGTTGCGATCGAATTAGCCATCGAACGACGCCGAAAGTGTAAACAATGTTATATTTCGGTGTTCTCGTAACTAGTTTCATTAGCGGACATGTAACCACGTTCATCCTCTGCACAGCTCTCAAAACTATCTTCTTCACTCTGGTATTCTCCACCACCATCGTATACACGAGCCACATCCTGAAAACTCTTTCTGTGGGCGGGATAATCGTCCATTCCATTCATGTCACTCGAATTCCGTGATTCTGGATTGCTAGGCACGTCTTTCGCCCGACTTTTGCCCTTATCGGCGCGCCGGCGAAAGGATGATTCTGATTTGATAGACTCTTTGTCTCTGAACGGAAGCCATTTTTGAAATATTTTCTCGGATAACGAGGAATTGGAATTGCGACGAATGAAAGATTTAAGTGACCACCTTTTTGATGAAAGCCTGGGCGCGTTATGAGGATAACGAGAAATGCCTTCTTTATAATCTTTATCCCTACTACTATCGTCGTACACCCCAACGTTGTGCTTTCTTCCTTTCCTCTTCACGTCCACTACTTCTCTCCCATTCTCAGCATTCCTCACTTTATCAGACTCAATTGCAACATTTTCGTCTTCTTCTTGATACTGTCTCTGACGCCGCTGACGCCTCTTCGTCTCTCCCCTAATTTCCTCTTGTTGTGCCCGATCATATAGTCAGAATGCATGTTGATTCATTTTCTCAACAACACTATCAAAACCAATCTGTGCACATTTATGTCCGGCTAGTTCACATGCGAAACGAAGAACATTTTCGGGAGACACGCCCAGAGAAAGACCATATATGACTCCGGCAATAAAGGTGTCACCAGCACCAACCGTGTCCACGACGCTTGTAATGGGAATAGCCGGAGCCGTGTATAATTTTTGAGTCGGATTATGAAAGCAGGATGCTCCGGCATCGCCCCAAGTGCAAAATAAGTAGGCTCTGAGAGTTTCGTAGGTAATTGAATGATATTAGTGAAATGACTCGATGACAAACGAGAACATTTAACAGTTGACGTTGAATATTTTGTTACACCATTGCATCAACAGACACCACCACTTACGACCAACATTTAGACGTATATAATTTGTGCATGATATAAAAAAGTCATAATGCAATATGCAACAAACATCCAACTCTTGACTGTCTACTTACGTGCTTTTACAAGCGGGACCCATAACAGTCAAAAAATCTCCCGGATGATCATACCCTTTGCCCTCAGCAAACACTTTCGAGAAAAATATCACGTCCGCCCTACGCATTAATTGTTCTAAACCCTGCCTATGTGGTTTCTCCAGTTCTACGCTGATTACTGCTCGTGATCTCCAAGATTTCGTGCCAACATAGTCCATCATCTTTGCTGTTTCTTCAACATTTCTTCCTTCAAAATGAATCCAATGAAACGGCACATCGCCCATTAGAGATGACATTGTTTCGACATCACACAGTTCATCAAATTTATCTCCGAATTCCTCTAAAGTTAATTCCTCTATGCTGTTTTTTTAAAGACCGGAAGAGAGTAAAGAATATTGAGTGAGTACGATAGATGACTATAGTGGGGGATGTAATGTCTGTGGATTAAAAAGAAAAATCAAAGGTTACGAATAGGTGTGTGATACTTATATAAGCATGGTCGTCCTCCGTTGTATATCAGACGGATCTTCTACGTTCAACTTATTCCTTCTTGTCTCTGACTCTGTTTCAACATAATTTTATTCACACCCATAACTAACCTATTATAATTTATTATTGTCCGTGAACTTGTTTCTTCGGCTTGGATTATGTATGCTACGGGAGAATGAAATGCATTCGGGCGGAATATACATGCAGAGGTCTGAATCCCATGTTTTTCGAAATCAGTTATCAGAAAACTATTTCACAAGAAGTTTAGTTAGTAGAGAATAAGATCGAGGAGGGTGTGAGAGAGAGTGAGTTAAAGAAGGATAGTAGACAGATCTATTGCTACATGGTAATTCTGGTGACAATTTTACAATTTCTTGTCTATAGGGAGAGGGGAGGGGAGGTTTTTAGATGGCCTATACCTCTCGCACCTTGTTCACCCGTATACTCTAAGCTTAATTTCTTACTTTACTCACAAGTAAGCATTTAACTACGAGTTATTCTTGTACACTGCTTACTTTGATGCCTCCCTTGAAGCCATGGAAGCTATGAAATAAGGTCGAAAATGCGGAAACTGTGATAATACGGTCAACGTATTTCCTGCATTTCCACCTCTTCGTTTCTCCACTCTTTGCGCTCTCTGTTTGCCGTCCTCGGGCGGGAACTTGTCTACATACAATATTGTATCCTCGTATACGGCACCGATAGCAAGTATTTTTAACGATCTTTGCTGGTGGTTAACGTAAGAAGACGTATCTTCTGACTGATAAGAGTCAGACGGGTATTCTTCGGTGAATGACATTTTTCTTCTAGTCCTATGCGTATTAGTATGGTGAATTGCTAAAAAAAAAAGGTTGATTTCAGGGGACAGCAATGGTTAGGACCCTATATTAATATTTATTTTCCTACACTTTGCTTCGTACAAAAAAAAATTAAAATTGACTGAAACAGACTAATTAAAAAAAAAGAGAGAATAATACCAATCGCTTATTTATTTATGTGCTTCGAATTTTGGCAAATATCGTCATCAAAGAAGGTCATGATTCATGAGCTTTAATCTTGCCAATGAAAAGGCGCTTTCAAGTTTTGAATTCTCTAACATTAAGGCAACATAAACTAGAACAATATCGTTGTCTTTTATAAACACGGATCAATTTTATTACGTAGTGAGGCGCGTTTTTCTTTTCTTTCTTTTCTTTTCTTTTTGCAATGGTAAAAATATTAGCTATGACAAGGTGTCGTGGGCTGCACAGGATCGCTATAATACTTAGTACCAAAAAATGGACGTCAAGTTAAAAACAGTTCCCTCTGACTAATCAAAAAGGTGACGATTCTTTGGTCACTCTAGAAATAGAGGAACCGTTATTGGCGTCACACAATTATTGATTTCCTGAGTATTTATGCATCAATACATTAGTGCCACATTGTGTGGAACATTCTCACACAATGCAAACGTCTATGCGTAGACACGAGTCTAGCATAGTTGAAACTGTTTATCTTTTGTCAAATTTCTATTTCTCGTTGGTGGTGTCAAAGGAGTCATTCACGTTTTACATAGTCTTTTATGTGGGATGAACCGAATGGCGCGTTGCTCGGCTTATTGTAAGATAATTGTAAGTGTTATTAATAAAAGGAAAGCAAACCTTCGTGATTCACATAGTTTAAAGTGTTACAAAAACGTAAATTTTATCTTTCTATAGAGAATATGGTGCTCCAACTTAAACTCTATACTCGACCTGTCTTTAAAATTTTTCCAACCCAAGTAGAGACTTTTTTTTGCCAGTAATTGTGTTTATTGCAATAAGTTACTGGCTAGTTTGTCATAAAAATGCCTCTATACTGAGTTAAACGGTTTTAAAGCTGGAGTACTTTTTATAATAATATATAAGCTCTCCGAGAAATTGTAAAACCGAAGCAAAATTTCTGGCGAAAAAGAAACTATACAACATTTAAATTCTTTATTCAAAAAATTCATTAATATTATCTGATAATCAACGATGTAATTCATACTTTTTTACTGAATTTTTCGCGAATTTTTTTACTATTTAATACTCCTGAAATTAATTTTACAAATTGTCATATTTATAACTGCATCTGGTTTGCATATCTGCCCCCACAATTTTTGCTCTGTCTCTTGGTTGTTGTTGTTTTTTTTTAGCTTATCCACTCGTCGCGGGCTTGCTTGGCTTGATTAATTAAATTAACAATTTCTTGGTAGTCTTCGGCTCCAACTTGGCTAGGTAATTTTTCTATTTTTTCATGAATATCTTCTTAAATGAAACTTTGGATACTTCTTACATATTAAAGTTGTCAAGCCATGCCTGTACAAGAAGAGCTTTCACAAACATTATTTAAAGACATGTTACATATATGCCTAATACTGTTACATTAATATTAATTGCCATATTTATCTAAAGTGGTAATCATCATTAAACTATTTCTAAGCGCCGTAGACTGTGGGGTTTCCTACCGTTGGATCAGCATTTGCTTTGTGGATTGAACATGCTATACATCATGAACAAGTTCTTACTGGTGAAATATTAAAAGTTAAAATAACTTCCAAGCTTCTCCTGGGTGGGTTACAAATTTCAAAAACGTCACAATTTAAGCCAATTATTTGCTCGTCATGAAGGTAATTTTGCGCCTCTGGAAGATCTGCCCACGATTTTTCGTAACGAACTGCAACGACTTATTCAATCATATCCAGTTGAAGACGTTTTAATTATCGTCTGGATCTTGTTAAAACGCTAACGCACGGCCCTGTAAGAGAAAGAAAGAAAGCAAAAGATCGTAAGTGCTACAGGAGAGAAATTGAAACCTCTGTTGATCCATAAATATCAAAATCCACGACCACTCAATGGAATTGACAAAGGTATTTTTATTCTGGCTATTGAACTCAACCACATGGATGCAAACGTCAATTTTCAATCACTGGCTTTGTAAACTTAATGCAAATCACGTCGAACCTTCCTATTGCTCGTGCGTTTGGGTTATTCGAGTGATGTGTGCTATTCTTGTGCGTTCTCACCAGTTTATCGAGCCAATTGAATTGGAAATTGGAAATAAAATATAGCAAAAAAAGGTAATACCATCTATGGCTTCTTGCCCCCTTCAACGGCTCGATAATATTAGTTACAAATAACTTAATAATTATATCTTTTTCTTCGAAAACCTCTATTGCCTAAGCGCACTCGTTTTGAAGCCAATTGGTTGTATTTTTTGGAAAATACCAATGATCGATTTAGTCCCGTTATTATTATCGTTTTTGCAGCTAACAGTCTGTTGAAGTGGAAATATTTATGTTACATGTATGAAAATGAATAAAATCTACGTGTACCACCACTTTTATTCAATTAGCTTCAAAACGGTACAAAATTATATAGTAAATCCTAATACTTCATTTTTTAATCGCTGACGTAAAGCAGAGATTTTCAACATTCTGATAAGCAATGACACTTAAGAATTAGCCTTTGTTAATAATTTCTTCCCAATTAGTTTCTGTCATAAAGCTTATCAATAAACTCAATAGGATATTTGCGTTTCGTTGTTATCTCTCGACTGTCTACGTTGATGACACTTTTGGTCCGTCCTGCGATATTAATATACCGTTACGACAATTTGAAATGGCAATGTTATTAAAGACTGCATCATTCAAATCGCGTAAAGGTGCCGTGTTTGTCTCTGTTTTTGTCTTTTTGCTCGAGAGCAATAGTGGTAATAACAAGCCGAGGAAACTAATGTAAATGTATAATCTACAAAACGAACGAGAAACAATCTAATTGTCATTTCTATACCAACTATTTTGCCTTCATAAAAATCAAATTTTGAGAATTTTCTTTCATTTGAACTTGAGAGAGTTTTAATTAACAATATGTTTATAGGACAAATCGAAAAGTTTCAACAATATGAGTACAGTTACACAGAAAAATAGATGGCGAATTTCAAAAAGAAATTTCTTGTTGCTCGAATTTTTGAAACAAGGAAATTTTTCTACCACTTCACTTGAGCAGAAAGGGACAAGTTAAAAAATGCAAATGAGAGCAATGAGCTAGCTAGCAAGTACTCTACGAGAATGTAGATTAAAGGGTATGGACAAGAGATTAAGGATACCATCACGAATGCATCCAGTAATTTCTCTGTCATAATAATATTAGGGAGCACCATGCACAGTAAAGTTCACGTGTCACGCTTCAACATGATTAGTAGAGAAACAGCTTTTAGAAATCCAAAACAGGACAGCAGCCAAATGCCCAATTTATTCATCTAGAGATAGTAGTCATAACACCCCCTCTTCGAATTATCGCTTAAATAATGTATCACTGTAAAAACATAGAACTGTTCGGTCTAGGATGAATAGTCCATTAAAAAGATGCGATTAACATTAAATATAAGATTAGGTAAATTGTTAAAATATATAACAATGATATGCTTTTTGGAAAAACAAGTTTAAAGACTGTGTATAACATTTAAATTTGTCGTCAGCTAAGAAAACCTTTAGAGTCCAGCGCTGTCCGACACTTAGTTCGGTTCTTCCTAACATTCTATACGAGATCTCAACACTTTCGATGTCATCATCATTTGCTCTTAAACAACTTTCCGACAAACGCTTTGATCGAACTCTTGACTGAACTTTTCCTTTTATGCTGCTGCGTCTTTCCATCCTGCCTTCTATTCTCTGTCACTTTACTCTGACTTCTATTCTCTGTCACTTTACTCTGACTCGCTGTCCCTTGCCTATTCGGTCTCTGCGTAGATGTTCCTTGTTTTCTTCCTTGGCATTTATGATCCGCTTCATGTCGATGTGCAATACAGTAGTTCTTGTTGCAGCTGTTGCAGATAAGACGAACAGCCACTCTAGTTTTACACGATGCGTAAGAGCAGGCGTTGAATGATTTTTGTGAAGTAGATTTTGGAACTGGAGAGCAGCCTGAGGCAATGTGTCGCTCTATCTATAAAAGCAAAGTAACAATGGTAAAATAGACTTTAGTGATAGACAACAGAAACCTGCCTTCCCGCCTGTTCAACATTTGCCTTCTTCAACTGTACTTTCAAAGTTGCTTAATTTCTCTTGCCTCTTCACTCGCTTCCTCTCCTTTCACCCGTTCAACTAACCCTAATATTAGGATTCTCTCCCTTGGCTACTGGTATCGGCGCACCACATTTTGGGCATGTAGGCACTCTCGCGCCATCACCTTTCGGTGCATCTGGACACATGTGGGCTTCCGGCTTTGAATGTTCCTGACAATAGTGTTTTTTGCAGTATGTGCATTTTGTAGGTAAGTAGTCTAATTGACGGCAGGAGGGATCGGCACATTGGCGGCCTACATCTGGGAGTTCCATGTTGTTCTAACTGGAGGAGGAAATATAGTTAAGTAAAGGAAAGAAATATATAAAACGTATTGAACAATGACGCCAAGGATAGAAATGTATTAAAAGATGGTATGGACTTTGTGTCACCTTTTTACATTCTCGATTACTGCGGTACAAACATTGATTGGGGCGGAATTCTCTTTCCAATAAGTTCGAATTTTAAAATATACACAGGCAAACTCGATAAGTCGGTCTCTCGATGATTCAATTTTGGCCTAAGAAGGCCAAAACTTCCCAAGCCCTTTTCTCAGTTTTAATATTTAAAATCTCTCGATAAGTCGGTTCTCTCGATAAGTCGGTCCATCATACATGACCGACTTATCGAGTTTGCCTGTGTAGTTGTATCGGTATCCCATAAATAAAATCAGGTCGTAAATCAGGCCATACATTAAGTCAGAAAGTATACTAACTATACTTCTAGTCTCAAAGAAATAATATTAAGTTAATCCGAATAAACCAATTATCAGTTTACTACATATATTGTTAATATTCAGTATGTCATAAATACGACAGACAAGTATATTGATGGTTCAAGTAGATAGGGGAGTAACAGCTAAGAAATTTTTACAGCAAAGAGAATTTACAGCAAAAAATGATATAAGATTGCGCTAATCAGCGCTTAGGAAAGGTCGAAACGTCAAACATTACTAATAGAATTTATTAGCCAATAAAATTACCCGATATTATCTATTGAAACGGCTATGTGGGGATATGACCGAGGTATTAACAAGTGTGAAACATGTCTTGTGTGCGAGAATCACAGTCCCACTGTACTCGTAAAGATGCCTGCAACTTTTTGTCTTGCGCTAATCTCCTCATCTACAATCAGTTCCAATGCTGACAAGAATTCTTCAATGGAACATGTCTGATACGATCGGAGATATCTCGCATGAGCTAGGAATGGTAGCTTGCGCAGTATTCTACCGCTCACGCCCTGGGAATGGCATATGAATAAGGTAGAAGGTTTAGCATGGATGATGTCACGTAACATGTGTGACTCTTTGAGGAATTCGAAGGAATGAGTTTGATAAATTACCAGACATTTGGATGATATCATGTGAAGCTTGACACTTGGGTTTTCGCGTGCATGCAAATGAAGTTCCAGTACGCGCCATTCAAGTAGAGAATGCTGGACAAAGGTTTGGAAAAGAAAGTTATAAGTATCCTTTGGACTTCACTATGTAGTCATTAAACATGACCCATGATTTACATCGATTACAATCTTCACGCGTATGAGTTCGTTGATGCAACCAGATAGGATTGAATAAATGGCCTGGTGAGACGGGAACCCAATGTATTGCACAATGTCGGCACGGTCGATGAATGCGAGGTCTAATTATTTATTAATAACCATTAGTTAATTACATAGCGCGTAATTTTACTAAAACATAAATATTTATTTCTAGCAGCTCACCTATTGCTTGAGTAATATTGGAAGTAGTCAGAATCAACACGTTCTTTTTTCTTTTCAGCTTGTCAATTTGTGTCAAGAGAGCGTTGACTACCTAATTAAAACACATATACACAAGTAAGTATTTATAGTAGCATATCGATGGTCTCACAAGATCTATCAAAGAAATAATATTACTCGAACTGCATCAGACGGCTCAGATCCACTCAACGCAGACTTGCGAGCAGCCGATAGACTCTCCACCTCATCTAAAAAGTAAACGCACGATGAATGCAACTGTTGCGTGTTCAGTATGTCCTACATCATACCTTTAATGTTTTATGTACCTATCAACACACAAATAAATGAATCATCAGAGTCGGCCATCTCGTTAATCTGATGAAACATTTTCTGCACCAACTTTCCCGATTCAGAAAACCACTTTGAGAATAGACTGTGGCTGTTAATTTCAACCAACTTTGCATTGGTATATCTGTTGCAAAGATCAAAGTGACAAACAATGCGTATTGAAATTGAGAAGAGGGTATGGAGAAGTATTTTGTTTACATGACGATAATGTCAATCACCTTCCAGCCATTCTAATGGATAGCTTGTGTGCAAATGCTCTACAAATTGTAGTTTTGCCTGTTCCAGCCGGGCCATGTAATAAAACGACCCTAAATAGGCGTAACGATAAGTAAGCGCTTTCGGAGATTTAAATATCAACAGGAAATATAGTGTGACACTCACTTGTTCATAGGAATTATGTTGGAATCAACGCCAACATCAGAAAACATCAGCAAAGTATGCGCATAATCCAGCAACTTTGTCTTGATATTGCCATCAAACACGAGTCTACTCACAACCACCAGAATAAGCACAAGAACACACCAACAATGGCGGTGAAACAACAACTAATTATCGCGGCCGCGGCTGATATGATTATTACTTATGCGACTCACATGTCCCACAATCCTTCCAATTCTCTTGAGGGCAAGTCCCAGTAATTAGCCGTGAGAACATTATTTTCTTCATCGTACTCGTCTGCTGCATCATTCTCATCCAACTGGTACACATGAATAGAAAGAGTGACACTGTCCAAGGTTTGAATTTCGGAGGAATCACCTAATAAAGAGGAATGGAAGTCTGAGCAAATATTTAACAAATTCCATTGACCAAAAACTATTTACTCACCAAAAACATCGTCAATCCTCAGATATTCTATGTTTTCCCTTAAAATTTCAACATCCCGATAGTCCGTGATTTCAGAATGACACGGCACAGACGTTTTGAACTCTCTAAGAAATTGTTCTATGCTTGTACGTATTAAATCATATCTAACTGTACTTAGCGTTTTCAGACAACATTCGACTAAATGTGATATCATTTAGTAACGACGCTCGTATATTTCTTATGCGCAAATGGTATATTAAATGACTGACCATGTAATATTGGCTTCTTGAGAGCAGAGGATGATGAATTCTCCATTTTGAGGCGCGCATGTTCCACGCGTGTGAAATTTATTGTCACACGTGTGTTACACAATGACACGGATCACAATATAATGAGAATGCATTTAAAGTTTATAATCGTTAGAAGATTGTAATTATTTCGTAGCTCTTAGAGTAAAAGACATTCACAAAAAGAACGTAAACTTTTTAATCTTGCAAAATGCTTCGCATACAATTTTCGGTTGTAACAGCGGGCGTAAAGGAAGCCAGTTTTTAATTTTTAACAAAGACATTAAAGTTTGCCTTTCAATTTGACATTTTATTTCGTTACTATTACTATGCTCTTCTTAAATTTGGTAGAGTAAATTCTTCAGCAATCAGAGTCACAGAAAGCTCGAACAACAGAAATCTAGTGGGAAAGGATAGATACAGTACAGTCCTCGGCGAAAATAATGACAGTGACAATCGTTTTTAAAGTTTTTATACAAAAATCGGTTATCTGCTATTATAGTAATATGTAAACGTATTATTATTTTTATTATTTACTTATTACGTCATGATATATATTTGTGTCAAATTAAACTTCTGCATTTATAACACTTCTCTGCATAATACGATTGAGACCGAAGAAGGGAATGATAGATTTTAAATAAACAGCATTAGAAAGCATCCAGAATTTATTGAATTATGTACAGCAATCAAATGTTCTATATTGTCAGGAATGAAACAAAGCAAATCGACTCTAAGTTTCACATTTAGGCTGTATAATTAACAAACACAACGATTTGTTAATGTGAATTAATATAAACACGTGATTCTCGATATACGGTCAACTTATCGGAGAGCAGATATCTTTGGCCGACTTATCCAGGCTGACTGTGTAATTATCTTGCAATTTTGCAAATAACTTTTGTGTGTAAGTCTCGGCAATTGATGAAAAATAAAACTACAGTAATGCGAGAGATCCGTTTAGAAACCATACATTGAGAATTAAGCTTCACATCTTTATTATTACTGCTTATTATTGTCCCCCCTTTACTATTACCAGGTTCGCTTACCTCATGTCTTGCATTATGTAATGGCTCAAAGTAATGCGCTAATTCATGACAAAATGTAAAGAACCAGTTTATCATTGTAGTCATTTCCCCAACAGCGTCGTGTCGTTTCTCATAAATATACAAATTAAAGAATAACGAGTCATTATGATTAAAGGCTTTTGATTGCCCGATTTCATAAAATATATGAACTGTAGGCAACGGCAGCTCAAATATGTTGCAAAGTTCGCCGAGAAGTTTCGTAAATTTCTTAATATTTGGGTGCATCCTGATGTTTGCAACGTTGGCGTAGCCGACAGTTGATACATAGACTTCTATTTGATTAATGCGACAGATAAACTCTAACGAATGGCCTAGAGAATCGAGCAGACCAAATTCTCAATGCTTGGTAGATGACAATGATGGATTAATTCTATGTATCTTACCAGGCGTAATATCACGGTAACTGTTCGAATCCACGTCCATCCGATGAATCGTCGTCTGACTCTTAATCATAGTACCTGGATAAGCTTTGAAAGATGTGACAGCCTTGCGTATCATTGTCGCTATATCGTCTGGTGTCGACGGTGTTGGTATTCCAATTTGCCGATTACCTGTTCGACGCCATATCGACGAGACTACCCTCGCCCTGTCGACAGCAATCGTTTTAGGTCTCTTACTTTCCCTCGCTATTCTATCCACAGGGCACCCCAGCTTTCTCAAGTTATCTAGAGACATCGTCAGCATTGAAAACAAAGCCAATGAATTTTTCGTACTTTGTTTAAGACAAATAGCGGCATCCAAATTAGCTGCTATTTCCAGATAATCGGGTTGGCCTCCGGTAACTAATAATGTATGTTCTGATGTGACATCATTATTGCTTAAATAGCACGAAGTTTGTTCAGTTTTACTCTGGCCCGTTGGAATTAGAAGGTACGTTTTTTGTATTTCTTGAACTTCTCTAACAGAAATATTTTGTACCCATTCGGTATCATGGCGGGATCGACTGCCATGTTTGCGTAGATATAAAGGTACACGTTCCCTTAATAAGGATTCGAGCTTGACAGATCGTTCCGAGATTATTGCATCGCCTTTCGACTTATGTGAGATAGCCACACTTTCCTTTAACCGCATACTGCCGAGTAGCTGGCAACAATGAACGGATTAGATACACAATGTCATTACCAAATACGCATAAAAATGTGAATTGATACCTCATACAGTTGTTCAACCAAATCATCCTCTGGGCATATCAAAACATCAAACATTCTCTGTAATTTGTCACTATTATTTAAAAAAATTTGTTGCGCTGTGGTAAAAACATAATCCATATTATCCTCTCCATCAGAAGATACTATCCTACATCCCAAGAACATGGATGATTGTTCCATTGCAGACATTAGTTTGGGTTTTTGCCGTATAGTGCGAAGACCCATAGCAATTGAATGGAGAAACTCTTTATAATGTTTGAAATCTTCATCAATTTTTGACCGGAGTTCGATTGGAGAACGGACGAGTCGCCAGGCAAGCTTTTCTGCAGAAGGTGAGGAGTGTACGCCACATGACTTGAGAAATAAATTTGCCTTTTCACCGAAGTTAACATGAGTGAAAAAACCTTTATATCTAATTAATGACAACAGGTAATGGTCAAAAAGGAAATATGGTAATGATTACCACTTGCATTATTATGAAATACTTTATCATTGATTTTCTACCTCTCTTCCTGACTCTCAAGCAGACAGCTATTCGGATTAGTGTGCACGATTTTATTCTCATCCTTTATAGGAATAAAATTGGCCTCACCCAACTCTTCCAAATCAGCGTTCTCAAACACTCCTAGTTGTGTCGCAAGATATTCAAGCACTTTCCTTGCTTCAATTTCATCTTTCGGCGGTTTATTGATCAACCTATCCGTAAGTTCTAATTTTGGCGGATCCTGCTCTACACCTAACTCTGCAGCATGAATACGCAAATCATGTCGTAAAACATTGAATCCGATATCTGAACACGCAGGATTGACAAAACAGTTGGAAGGCGTAGCATATATTGTTGGGTCAACGCAAGGAAGGAATGCTATATTTACAGAATGGGTGTAGTCGGTTGCGTAATAATCTTTGAAATGGGTTAAAAAATAATCGAGAGCTTTGCATCGAAACTTGGACTCAGTTGGAGGAGCGGCCAGTGAGAGGATGTGGTTCAGGGACGGGTATGTACGAAGGCCAAGACTTGTCAGGAATGTTGCTGAAGGTATGTTTTGAGGATGTAATGAGCACCAAACGTAAAACAAAGCTTGCTCCCAAAAGTATTACAGGAAACATTACCTTCGGCCAGCTTGGCAGACCATCTTTTCTTCCATTTAATAATTGGTAAACCCAATTCCCTCAACTCTAGCAATGGAGCATACAAATCAGATATCAAATGCTTTTTTATTTCATGTTCGTCCTCACATGGCCATATTGCATTCGTTCGTAGTTTCTCCTTTTCATCCGGCGCTATATCATCAACTCTTGAGATCAGGTATTTTACCAGATTCATATGATCCCAATTGCCTTGGGAAATTAATCGGTCAAATATTAATTGTAACTCGACATGCTTGCGGACGCCAAGAAAAGTAAAAAAAGGTTCAACTACATGTCGAGGTTTTTTTAAATATACTGTGGGCAGGTCCGGAAGGATGGTTACTGACGACAAGTAGGCCTGGTCAGGAATATACATCCCGTATTTTGTAGGAATTATTTTCTTTTGGTTCAACAAAGTATGGAGAGCCTCTTGATCCGTTGTGGAGAGGGACTTGAAGGATCGACTGAGGATACCGAGAAAGTTTTCGGCAAAGGCCGCGTCTGATTCGACTTTTTGGTGCATTTTCGGCGTTTTAAGGATAAATTCTACCCAAGTGAGAAGCGGAAGCTCTCTGTAATTTCTGAGAGTAATTTATCGAATTAGCAAGGATGAAAACGGATGTAGATATAAATACATTGATAACGTATGCATAGCTACCCAAAGTAAATTTCAAGGGATTTTTTAGCAAGCGTTCTGGTAATCGTATATGGCAGCGTGTTAATAGGGAAATCACTGTCAATCGCCGCCAAGTTAGAATTCAAGAAATACTTGAAACTGGCCAAGGGCAAAACTCTATCATTAACAATAGTCGTAGCCTGGAGCAGAAATTGCGATCTTTCCATATCCGACACTTGGCTATTCGTACAATAGCCAATCCACCATTTCATTAACGCTGTCGTTTCTGCCTCGGTCAATGTTCTCTCCTGCAGTTCCAGGTTCAACACGTCTTCCAACGTGATCCCTTTTATCATCCTTCGTTCCTTGGCCTTATCAAAGAAACTTTTGCAATCGTTCAGCACATTCTTTGGAACAACGGGGATTGCCTTGATGAATCCCGCCATATCGGCGTCGGGCAATCTTACCGATTGGATAGGGAGGACGCCGACGGAAGAGATGACAGACAGAGGTTTGTTGGAGCAGGTAAAAAACATCTTTTCCATTATGATGCCCACGTGGTTGTTAGGTGTACTTGGACGAAAGGTAAAATGAGTAAGGATTTGCGTAGCTTTTTTTTGAAACAATTCGCGTGCCGTTTGCACTTCTTTACTATCTGGATCAACCCTGGAGCTAACTGTGTCAGTATAGAAGCGGGATAGTTGGTCCATTTGCTCTTCATACACGACGCGAGTAAGTATTCCCGCCATTGACAGTAGCTCTTCGTTGTATATGGCTAACGTTTTATCCACCAAGTCTATCGATTCGCGTTCAACCTTAATGGTCAATAAATTTATTATTAATAAAACTCTGTCCAGTGGTAATGGCAATAGTCAGTTATCTTGAGCGGTACTAAATAGTTAACCAACAATTAGTAGAATCTTGGTCATTCTTACCGTAGGAATAAATCTTGCTGTCAAGTGCGATGAATGTCCAGTCGTCTGATGCGTCGGGAAACCAATAAATATTCTTCCTTGCTCCGGATACGGTAATAGATCTTTCAACGTTTTAAAAACACCTTCCTCCGTCGCTTGGCTTTCTATAACTGAAAGTTTATATTCACCCAATTCTGGGAACAGCATTTGAATTGCTGTCGTGATTGGCGGTTTCTTTTTAATGCTACGTTCCATCTCCGCTGAGAAAGTCTCCGTCACGTCTACGTCTAAATGGCCAGTTGCAACACGAAGATGGATGGTTGCATTCTCCATTTGACAACTAAAAGTTTTGTTCGAGTTCGGTGTTATGTTAAGACGTTCTACCCGCACTTCTACACGTCGTAAATCAATTGATTTAAGATAAAATATTCCTCGTGGTGAGTAAGTATTCACGTCCTTGGCTACTTCCATAACTGGTGCATCTATTACTCTCTTAGATAGTTTTAAGTTTTCTGTATTGTTTGTGTACACGCATATCTCACGAAGGTTTTCAGTGAATATCTGAGGGTAAGACAAATAAAAATGCTCAACAAGCATGACAGTGATATGTTAGTAATATATATGATAGTTCAATTACCATCGATGTTGCTAGAAATTTTCCGAATTCATCAAAGGTTGGAATCTGTTGCCCATAACATGTATCGGTTAATGATTACAGTCACATCATGAACCAAGATTCAGAAAATAGCTTATCTCCACTCACTTGCAAGGGTTCTCTGAGATCCATCAAAAATGTTGTCCGTTGATTATCAAGGTCTGTTGGTCCAAACTTGGCACGTAATTGACAATTATGCCAATAAAATCCCATGCCATGGTCACCGGAAAAGATGCTAACGAGAGATCATAAAGACCAAGTTTAAAATAATGTAGATCTGTTACTAATACGTACAACAATACCCACAATGGTTCCTCGCATATTGAAAATAGCGAGTAAAATCCAACGCCGAACGCACCAATCTACAAGTTTAACGCCAATAGAACGTTAAAATTTTACAATCGCCAGTTTAATTGTTTTGGGGTTTTGACCTTTTTATACCTTTTGTTCATCAGGATTTCCCTCGGCTATTTTCTTCAAACGATTCCAATCCTCTGGCCTAAATACAAACCCGTTGTTCTTGAACAATATTCTGGTGCATTTTTTGTATAGGCTTGCCTCATTATCAGGTTTTTCGGCTCCGCCTGTTTCAAAGAATATCTCTATTTTTGATGATTTTGCATCATCTTTTTATTAAAACGAGAACGCATAAGATACTGTAAAGATGTAAAAAGCAGCAGCATATTGGTAATTAACTATACTGTTAGCCAACCTGCGTTTTGCATTAATTCCCTGAACACAACAAAATTTGAGGAATATCTGTATTGGTAATATCGATAGTTTCTTCTTTAGACTAACAAACTGTAATTGTTGATTGTCCCCAAATCTATTTACACACCTAGCGAGAACTTTGTCAATCAAGTGTCTCTGATTGACTTCTACTCTTTCTTCTTTGTTGTTCGATAATACTCGTTTTCTTAATACGTCAAGCGACATTTCTCAAATGTATTTGAGCTCATTATGCGTCAGATTTGGGTGTGCCATTCTATTTGTACTGGATTTCGCTCTTACGCACTTCACAAATAAGCAAACTTTCTCGGTTAGCTTATTTGATAATTTAATCATTAATATACAAGTTAATCAAAACAAGACGTCTATTAAAGGAAACTTACTGTTGTCACTTACTCATTTATTGACACACACGCATTCCCATAATACGTATGTGTGAACAACAAATGTAATAGTTAAGTAGCTATATATGTTAATGACCGTTCTCACAGCAGATTAACATGATATTTATACTACTTGAAGATATTATTATTGAATTTGTTACAAACTAATGTTGATATTACAAATTAATTTCATAAACTAAACTGTTAAGACAAAAAAAAAGTTTACAAGTTTACAAAGAGCTTAATTATACACCGCCAAGTTAAAGAAAAATGCTCAAAAGTTCTTGATTGGCCTTCTTACTCACCTGACTTAAACCCTATAGAAAACTTATGAAGAAAAGGGTAGAAAAGAGGGTAAATTAACGTATTTTACAAAAAAAATCAATTAGATTAGATGTTTTTTACTGATTATCCAACTAGAATGGGATAATATCGATAAATCTATTCTATCGAATTTATGTTCTGGAATGAAAAAAGCGTTTAGAGGCTGTTATTGAAAAAGGGGACTTAACGATTGGTCATTGAATTTTATGTAAAATGAATATAAATTGGTTGAGTAATAAAAATTTAAAATTCTCACTATTTTCCGCCACTACTGTATGTAAATCATCACTATAATGGGTAATCATTGTTTACGAAAGTCTCAGTGGTATATAACAATCCCGTGCCATTTTTAATGCTCCTATAGTCCCGATCCAGGTGAACGTTTCAGTTACGTAGTAGTTAAGGCCGATATAGATTTTTGAATCGCTTTCTGTATTTTCTTTGAAAAATAGCTGGAAATATTTTCTAATACGCTTTTGGAAATAATATCTGTTATGTTCTGAAGAAATGACTTATCTTTGGCTGTGGCATTAAGACGTTCTAATGTATCATCCATTCTTAACCATTCTTGATCATTGAGACGTAATCCTGGACCTGAATATATTACACCTGGTTCCATCTGACTGGGTCGTAATAACTCTCTGCCTTGTGACTGGGGAGCGGGTTGCACAGTGTGTGGAATGGGTTGGCTTTCAGCGGAGTTTTTCAATTTCGCTTTTTAGTCATACCTGTATTACTTGTTTTATAAGAGTCGTTTATGTCAACTCTTGATTATAGTTGAGACGTGACAGGGTGGGTCTCAGGGTTATATCGCTGAACATTAATTCCGCCTTCCGTCTTTCAATTTCTTCTCATTCTGTATTAAGGTAGAAATTGGATGTTCAAGACCAATGCGAGTTACTTCTTAATTTATTATCATGTGAAATTCCCTTAAAGAATTGCTGTCTAACTAACTCCTCCTGATTTGCTTCTGCTAATGCGGGATAAGCTTGTTTAATCAATCTTTTTAATTTCGAATAGAAACGATTTACTGGATCATTACCTTGGGACAAAGAATGAAATATTATTTATGACTTTTCTGCAGTAATAGTAGGGTACTCGCGTCGAAAATAATCAATTACTTGGCCAATAGTAATTGGGAGCTAAGTCAGTTGGCTGTCCTTCCTGGTGGTATCCAATCTTCATCCCATACTGAATGAGGCGAAACTAATGGCCGCGCAGGTAGATTACCATCAGCTGGCGCGGTCTCTCGAATAATCCGAGCTCTACCTCTAAATCTGACAACATTCATAGCACGTATTTGCATTATTAGTCAATGCGTTAATAGCATGAAGATTTGCTACGCCAATATTTGCGGTAAAGTTTTGTAATTCCCAATTTTTATTTTTAATCCTGCTTACATACCAATCTTTCGCATCGCCTTCAAGACAATTTTCAAAAATTCCATGAATTCTCATTCGCATATTATGTCCCGCACCTGGGTCAAAGTTAGCACATTCACGCCATCGGCGAAAATCTCTAATTAAATCTTCTAGATCTGTTGATCCGCGAAACTTTGGTAGTTCGTATCCTGCCATGTTTCGATTATTATCGTTGGTATTATATGTATATGTAAACCTAAAATTCTTTGGTTTAAAAAATTAATACGGTCTTCCAATTCTAAATTAGCATCACGAACTAATTTCGATCTCAATTTCCACTTGACATATTTGTCATGTTTATATCTCGTCCTATTTTTCCATTTCGTATATTTTCCATACAGAGGCGCAAAGTGCTCTGCTTCGCAGATAGCACGTGGTTGGGCTTTATTTTTATACCTATTGCAAAGAATTTTGAGAGCAAAATTTTCAGATAGTAATCGGTTTTTATTTTTCTCATAATAGACTTGCCAGAATGTGTGCATCAATTTTCACCTTTATGGCTTTTCTCCACATCATCCAGTATATATGCAGTAGCGTTCTGCCAACTCATGGCATCATCAATAGCGATCCGGGTGTTTTCTCTTTCTGCCGCTAACTCCTCTTGAGATTGATTATAAAACTGGGTTAATTCGTCTAATGCATATTCGACTAAGTTACTTAGCAATGGATCGGAATTTCTACGTATTTTATTTCTAATTGATTGGCTGACGGATCCAAACATCGTCTATCCTCGGTAATCGGGGTTAGTATTAGCCATTTCTATTTGATTAGTCAATATTTTTCCGAAAAAAGATAATTCACGAATACTTGTCTTAAGTCTGGATATATTTTCTTCATATTCAGAGATTTGACATCGATAACTGCCCGTTTTCCTTTATTGAAGACCAATTCTAGTTGAAAGCAAATTTGATATTTCTGCGCTTTTAGAATCGTACGTAATTGAAATCCAATATACTATTTAATAGTTACACTTACGATTGTGGCCATGCAAATGACAAAGGGAACGTGAAACCATAATGGGTGGTGTGGCTTGGCAATTGCGTTACCACATAGTTCCACAAATAAGCACCCGCTTATTTTTGGAGTTGCATATAGAAACATTGTGGTACTCAACCAATGATAATTGCGTAATTGAATACCACTATTGGTCAGGTGAGAAACTCCCCACGCGATTAAAAGTCGGATAGCTCTTATCTCTTCCTCTAATATTTTCCTCAGTTTGTTATCCTCTTTTTCCCTTGCCAGTCGATTATTATTCTTTTCCCTTCTTTGCCTTTTCATTATCCTCTTCTTTGTTTTCATTACTCACAATGACTTCGGCTCAAGGTTTGTTGGATTCGTAGATAGTCAGTTTGCGATCTGATCAACTGTACTAATGGCTTTTTTATTGTTTCAGAGGCAGACAGACTCATTCCTGAAACTGTGGACGAAATAAACGTGGTTGAGGATAAGAAAGCATCTGGTTCGGCTTCAGTTATGCCAAAAAAACTACAAAAGATTCTTAATAGTCTGACCCCGAAACAACGGGAACTCTATGACAACGCGCCCAACGACCCCAAAACTGCCTATTTAGAAGGAATTTATGAAGAAAAGAGAAGAGGGGTATGTGACTATATGTTTTGACGACTACGTCTCCAGATTTTTTGCTAACATAGTATTAGCTACGTCGGTATTTGCGTTACTAAATACATAGGGTTTCAGTCTCACTATAATTATCATTGCGGTAACCACACTCGCTATTGGGATTAATGTTGTGAGCAGACTGGTCAGTGGAAACGAATATTTGATCAATGTATTCACCATAGTAATAAATAGTCTGTCTTCGGAGTTCAGGCAATCGCCAACTTAATAAGATCACGTGACCTATACAAGCAAAGAGAATTTTTCAAGTTAAGCTTGGTTCTCGCCCTATTAGTATAGGCGTATTATTAGCAGTACTGCTAGGATTATATTTAAACCCAACAATCCTAACAATTACGTGATTACCGGCAAGCTTGTTATTTTCTAATGCCTTTGCTCAATATTTCAGCGAATAAATTTATTGTTTGTATCAGTTAATCAGCAAGCGACTCTGTGTTTGCCTGCTGCTTAACGGTGTCGAGACTTACGTATTCCTCCGTGATTTCCGATAAGTTACACCGACATTTCCAAGCCGCAGCATTCTCATTTCATAGCCGCTCAAAGAATGTAGGACCAAGAAATGAAACATATCGGGTCAGTTACACTAGAAAAGAAACAGATTTCACCCGATGCGGACGGATTTGTTTCTTTTAATTTAATCCTCGTGTATTTATTGGTTTTAGAGTATAGAGCAGCGCAGTAGGCGCAGAACTCGAAATAATATATAAGCAGTCGTAATTTCCTTAGCAAACGGTGTCTTCGGTTGAATGGATTCGATCTTGAATCTGATACTATATTCCTTAATATTATTAATCAAATAAACATAATTATCCAAACGTATGTTTTTGTATTCTCTGATCTATATTGTGGAGCGCCGATAAAGCTTGAAAACGCTTTCTTGATCGGCGCTTGATAAAATCGACCTTGTCCTCGATTTTATCCTCCCTTGACAATAAAGACTTATAATTAATTCAGATAGCGCAATTGTTAGAAAAGTTTCCCAATCTATAGGCTTTCGACCGAGAAAAATAGACGTATTTACTCGAGGTTAATTATAAATCCAGAGAAAGCGTACGCGAGAATCGAACCTAGCATCGTGAGCGTTTAAACCCAACTTAAAGGTCACCAAACGTCAATAGCGGATTTACCGAAGTAGAGGTAATCAAGGCTCTCGTTGGAAAAAGGCTAAATCCCAAGGTCAATATTCGTTCCGCTCTCCCCCGAGTATTGGCTCGACACATCATCGACCGACACTTATTCCGGTTAAACCAGTTGAAAATGAGCCACACAGCTCAGAATTGGTAATAAAAAGACCATGGTGATGAAAATAAAGTTTCAATATACTGCACAAACGGCTGTCTTTTTCTTCTGACAATGTCTCACCTTTCAAACCCGGTCCCGTCTTTATTGACTCTTTTGGCGATAAGGAATCTATTAACTTGAAGTCGCTGAAAAGAAACACAATATAATATATAGTTAATGTAGAACCTCATTGCCTAAGCACAGACATGTCATATTTATTATCGCTAAACCGTTGGATAAACTCACATAGGCCATAAATTACAAGTTTATTCAAAAAGAGTTTGAGTCACAGTCACTAAATTATAATTAGATAAGAGTTTCTACTCTCCTTTTCGAGATGTTATAAAGGTCGTATGTTATTGCGAAAGATGGTGTACTACATGTTGTCATCAGAATCATCCTCGTCTACCCCTTCGACAAGGTCGACAATATCATCCTCAAGTCCCTGTGCATCTGGACGCTTATCAGAATCAGCATCACAACAGGCATCGTTGACCGCAATCCATAATATCACATACTAAATCTCTATCTAAAAGGTGGTTCACCAGTGTCAATTAAACACATAATGATACCAAAAGAATATATGTCTGATTTCTGAGTAAATTTGCAAGTATAGAAGACTTCCGGTGCAATAAAGGGTAAAACGCCTCGGATGTTTGAATGTGACTCGCGTGAGTTTGTTGGATTGCGATATAGTATGTTTCTATAGGCTTCGGGTTTAGTTTGATCACGTAAGATTTGGTAGACGCCACAATAACAGTGATTAGTAAATAAATCCGACGAACAAATTGTTTAGAATTTTGTAACCAGTTTATAATCAGCCGTGCAAATAGATGAATTCGTATTGAATGAACCAAGTGTCTCTGTTCTTGTATGTTAACTGAAACTATCATGGTATCCTCAACCCTAGCTCTTGCCGATCCTTTAACAAACCTATAATAATAATAATAATAATAATAATACCTACCCTTTGCGCAGATTAAATTAATCAATTGTTACGTCATTATGCAGCAGCCAATCAAATTAACGGCTTTTTTTACGCCTATTGTTAACATTGAGAGTGCTTATAGTATGTCCGAGGTTACTGAGCCGCCCGAGGGTAAATAGACTGGAGTGAGTCTGAGGATGAGGATGAGGATGAGGATGAGATTGAGATTGAGATGAGGCTGGGATAGGAAAAAAGCCGATCTATTAAATAAACTTGCAGGACATGTCAATTGTGAAGAAGACAAAGGCGAACGTTAGGCAAATGAAAAAGGAAGGATGCGCCATACAATAATCTATAGTAGGAATGAGATCCTAGTCGTAGATCCTCGATCGATGTTGGACCCTGCCCCATTTTAGAACCCTACCTGGGAAATTCCTTCTATTTATGTAGGAGTTCTTTGTCCCTCGTTGGGTATGATATGCACACGATCCATCTTTTATCTTATTTTAATGTTTAGTGCTGGTTACACATAAAATAGGCTGGTTAATATTTCTTCGTCCTCAGCTCAAACAGACTTGGAAGTCTGCTGCCGCTCGACCTCGTTATTAGGAGCTGCAATTATTTAGTTGTATTAAATTAGGTATTATTAAACAAACTCATAGAAATAGATGTCACACTTAGATTTGAACCCGGAAGACTGTCAGACAAATGAGCGAAGTCCACTCGAGTTGGGAATTGATGTCTTTATTACTCTGGGGTTGTTAGTTAGCTATTTACCACAGGTTTGTTTCTGGAAGCAGAACTGAGAGTTCGTTATATTCCGGTTTATGTTCGTTTTAGCAAATATCTCATACATACTATAAAATTAGCACTACAAAATCATCAAGTTTAAGAGCAGTGAAGGCATTAACCCCATATTCTTGCTGTTGGGTACTTTATCGGCAACTTCAAGTTTATTCAATGTCATAATCTTGGAGTTTAAACCCATTCAATGTTGCTCTTTTGTGGTATGCAATCTGTTAAGCATGGTTTTATGTACTAGACTTGACTAGAACTCACTTCGATTGCTGTTATCCAGAGTGCTGTTGAATGCGCCAAGAACACAATCTCGGTTATTCAGTTAGGAATTCAGTGGACTATGTTTGTCCTAATGTATCCTTTATCTCGTTGAATTTCGCTATCGGTCTCTATCTTGGGTCAATCCGTCCTTGACTTCTTCTCTCTCTAAACCCACAGCTTGGTTCTGTTTCTTATCTATTTTCCAGCACATCGTAAACTCGCTCCATACAATCCTCAGATTCACTACGGTCGCCCACCTATTGCTCGTTCACGCGAGTGGAAGGTGTCTATTACCGTACTATATTCTGTCATAGTCCATTTTTTATTGGTCCTGTCGGTCACCGTTTATCTTTTGGTTCTGGTTGGTGATTCTAGTCAAAGGGAGACTTATTTGTGGGCCGGATTCTTGGGCGTTATTTCGATGATGATGGCATCGGTGCAATATTTACCCCAGATTCATACTACTTGGAAGATGAAGGTCTGTGATGGAGACGGGTGGCGGGGACATTTACTATGCGAGAGGGGAAGAATCGAGCCGAAGTTAATGTAACTAACACTGTGACTCGAACGCTGTTTATAATGTTTTAGGCTGTTGGAGCCTTGAGTATTCCAATGATGCTTATGCAGACTCCTGGTAAGTCATACATCAAGCGTGGTCATTACCCTTCATATTGTCATCCAATGCACTAATTTAATCTCTTCTTAACCTTTTAGGCGCGTTCCTTTTTGCATATTCCCTTGCATCGAAAGAAGATAATAATTGGACCACATGGATCGTCTTCTTTGTAACTGGCTGTCTGCAAGGCATTCTCCTTATCATGGCTATATGTTGGCACTTCCGTGCCAAAAATATGGGATATGGTCCCTTCGACGTTACTGACGCTGAGGTTTTATATGATAGTGATGGACGACCTATGAGGCCAGGTAGACGTTCGTCTGCCGGTGAGCGATCGCCCTTGAGGCCAGATAATCAACCCAATTATGCGGCAGTTATTAATGAAGAAGATTAACAAAGACAGTGGGGAAAATGGATACTAAAGGTGTATAAACTGCTAAACTATTTTTTCACGAGCAAATAAATACGTAGGGGCTGGTTCTTAATTATGAAGGACAGTTTACCTTGTTGATAAGAACGACTGACAATGACGCATCTAATAAGTGCAGTGATTTCGTTGTCCGTGTGTTCTTCTGAACGTTGTAGTAAGTTCTGGTCGTCCTTATGGATTGCTATGAAGCGAATATTCCAATCCTATACCGAGACTTATTGTTATGTCCTATGAACTTAATCACGTAATTTCCCCTCATTTAAGATGTAAAGAGTTAGTGATTAACATAATCTTTGTCAAGAACCATGACCCTGATTCACATATATCAATTCAATATTACCGTGTATATGGTACGAGCCATATATACTATTGCGACACCTCACCTACTCGAGTTTATCGGACATCAATTATGGTTTCTCCCCTAGCGCAATACCAATCGCGTCAGGCTCAAATTGATTTTTCATTCTCCTGTTGAGATGATGGGCGGAAATCTGTGCTACAGTCGTCGTTTAATACATTATTACGACTACAGGTTGCAGGTCGTTTAAAATCACCCAGACTTGATCCGACGAGGTAAATTTGCAATTTTACTAATTCTTACTCAAGACTTAAAGATTAATACATTAAAATGACTTTCAGATGAAGTGTTTGCGCTGATCAAAAGATATAATAAGATATCATAACAGGAGAAAAACCAATGAGTGATACCAATACCAATAGTCGTGGGGGTAATCAAAAACTTTGAACACGTAATTTTTTATTTCTCAATTTTCATAAACAAAACTTCATTTGAAAGATAATAAATTAATAAGAAATCCTGTTTTCAATTGTTTTCATTGAGCTGCGTATTGACTAATTATAAGTGTTTTCAGGAATATGTTTTCACATCGATCGAGATTTTTTTGGTATTAACTCTTGATGCGTGGTTTATTAGGGTTAATCACGTGTCAAATCATACAGTAGATATTCAATTGACTTGTGTAACAGTGATAGTGTTGTTTTTCCACTAGGATCCAGATACACTAACTAGTTAGCTCGCTCAAATCATTCTCCTGTTAACCAAAATGACCATAATAATTAACTTTGCAAGTTAACCGAAAAAGTTTTTTTTTTTAATCAGATCGATATGAATAGGATCGACATCACGCATGGAATACTGGAATATAGAATCCCAAAATTTTAGATACGGATCTCATCCATCTTCCAACCTTGCTCGACATGACTTTCAAGGCAAAGGTTCTCGTACTTCCAGGAGACAACGCTGGACCAGAAGTGGTGGCCGAAGCTATTAAAGTATTGAACTTGATAAATAAAACACGAAATAATGTTGAACTTGAAATTACGAATGGTTTGATTGGTGGTGCCGCTATTGATGCTGAAGGTAAAAATATAGGTTATCCAGCCACTTTTTACAATATAATCGTAGCAAAAAATTGGTTTTCACACTCTTTCTGACAACAGGCACTCCTCTTCCCGAGAAAACTTTAAGACTTGCAAAAGAGTCGGACGCCATTCTTCTGGGTGCAGTAGGTGGACCACAGTGGCCGCGTCCAATTGATTTGTCTGATGCGTCCAAGGGACTTGGACCACGTCCAGAGCAAGGCTTGTTGGACATACGCAAAGCATTAGATCTATATGCCAATCTACGTCCATGTTCATTTGCAAGCGATTCTTTGATAAAATATTCGCCTTTAAAAGAGAATGTTGTCAAAGGGACTGATTTCACGATTATAAGGGAGCTAGTTGGTGGGATTTACTTTGGAGAGAGGATGGAAGAAGACGGAAATGGAAAAGGTGAGAGTAAAATAATAGAATATGCGAATATGTAGTTTACGATGCTTATTCTAGGTTTACGTAGTCAAACACTAACTTACTAATTCCAATTCAAATAGCATATGATACTCTTCCCTATACCGTTTCCGAAATACGTCGAGTAACACGTTTAGCTGCTCATCTATCTCTGCAAAAGTCCCCCCCTGCTCCAATCCATTCGATCGATAAAGCAAACGTTCTCGCTACGTCTCGGCTGTGGCGCAAGATAGTCACAGAAACATTGTCCACAGAATTTCCTTCTATTCCGTTTGACCATCACTACGTAGATGCAGCAGCAATGTTCTTGGTCAAGAATCCAACTAAATTAAATGGAATCATCTTAACTGGAAATCTTTTTGGTGATATTCTAAGTGATGAAGCGAGCGTAATTCCTGGCAGTTTAGGATTACTTCCGTCTGCTAGCCTAAGCGGACTACCCGATGGAAAAAGTAAATGTCTCGGACTGTACGAACCAATACATGGATCAGCCCCTGACATTGCTGGTCAGAACATAGTCAATCCCATCGCTACCATTCTTTCATTGGCTATGATGTTTAGGTATTCTCTTAGTCTTGAGAGAGAAGCGAAAGCTATAGAAGATGCAGTAGAAAAAGTGCTCCAAGACGATGAATTTGGCGGATTTGAATTTCGCACTAAGGACCTTGGAGGCAATAAGACTACATCCGAAATGGGTGATAAAGTAGTTGAAGTACTCGAAGGATTTCTCGAAGGCCTTAACTCGGAAGACAGAATATCGGCTACGACTCCGTCACGTGGATTGCTTCTATCGAGACCATCTGGCAGAAGAGGAATGACTTTGTGCGAAAAGATTATCACACATGCAGCAATTGGCCTTCCTTCTCCCGGGCATGTCAAACCAGGCGACATGGTTTGCGTATCAGTCGATTGGACCCTTGCCTCAGAACTCACCTGGAAGGGAATGGAGAAAACATTTGACGTCATGGGTCGACCAAAAATTCAACGGAACGATCGCTTCTGGCTCGCCATTGATCATACTGTAGATCCGCGGATAAATCATCTCCCTAAACCAACCGAGTTAATCAACGCATCTGAAAGCTTTGCAAAAGAAGCAAAACTAGTCGACTTTTACCGCCCTAATCATACGATCCTCCACACCGAATTTTACCGTGAGCGCGCACAACCTGGTCAAATGATCATTGGTGCAGATTCACACTCATGTTCCGCTGGAGGAGTAGGATCATTTGCTGTTGGATTGGGTGCAGCAGACGTAGTTATGCCCTTGGTTACGGGTGAGACGTGGTTTAAAGTGCCGGAGACGGTAGAGATACGGTTTGAAGGACAGCCACCCTTTGGAATTGGAGGAAAGGATACTATTTTATATGTACTTGGCGTATTGAAGAGGAATACTGTTGCATTTGAAAGAGCAGTGGAATATACTGGACCTGGGCTGAAGTATTTATCATGTGATGCGAGATTTGCTATTTCGAATATGTCAACTGAGTTTGGTGGTATCGCTGGTGTGTGCCAACCCGACGAAATAACAGCTACGTATATAGCTAAGCGTAAAAACCCTGCACACAAGAATGCTGCTCTATACTTCAAAGCTGATCCGGATGCAGTATACGCAGAAACTCATATAATAGATTTATCAAAAGTCGAATCACTCGTCGCGCTTTATCCTTCGCCGGACAACGTTGCGTCAGTGAAAGAAGTTGAAGGAATGAAACTCGATGGGTGCTTTATTGGTGCATGTACTACTGCTGAAGAGGATTTGATTCTTGCTGCATTGGTGTTGGAACAGGGCCTGAAGAAAGGATTGAGACCGTCAATCAATGCGAAGAGAAAATGCACGCCGGGAAGTCTGCCAATTACCGCGAAATTGAGAAGATTGGGATTGCTAAAGTTTTACGAACAGGCAGGCTTCGAGATTGGGGCACCTGGATGCTCGTATTGTATCGCTGTTGCTGCAGATAAAGCTGGTGAGGGAGAAGTCTGGCTGAGCAGCCAGAATAGAAACTTTAGGAATAGGATGGTGAGTTATATGTATGCTAATTGAAAGATAGTGGATGTGTGCAAGAAAATAACAAAAACTTCTTTTTTTGATGTGCCTTAAAATTAATCTGCTCAGGGAAAAGGAGCAATTGGTAATTTGGCGTCTGCAGCAACAGTAGCGGCATCCTCATTTGAGATGGCGGTCCGAGACCCACGCGACCTTTTAGATGCTATAGACAAGGCAAAATATCAAGAATATCTCGAAAACTGGCTTGATGAAACAGTCTCAATTACAGTTTCTGAGCCAAGTCCCATCCTTCATGATTCCAGTAGCACTAACGAATCCGGCACACATGTTACTTCACCTGCACCATCCTTTTCCACCACTGTCACTGGCAAGGTGCAGAAATTTGAAGATAACATAGATACAGATGCCATAATTCCTGCCCAGTTTATGCCTGGGAAGGATGACCAAGATTTGGGTACTCATGCGTTCCAGTATGTCAGGCCTGAGTTTGTGCAGAAAGTGAAGGAAGGAAATACTATTGTCGTTGCTGGGAGTGGTTTTGGAAGTGGATCTTCACGAGAAGAAGCACCTAGAGCATTAAAGGGAGCTGGTATCAAGGCGGTTATTGCAAAGAGTTACGCATACATTTATAGTAGAAATCAGGTATGACTATTTGATAATGTGATTAACCAATGTTTATCTGCTCTTCAATATTCATTATTTTATTATTCTTCACATAGCCAAATATGGCGCTTCTCGGCATAACTGTCACGGATGAAGAATTTTATAGTCTCGCACAGGAAGACGTAGAAGTAACAATTGATGTCAAAGATCGTAAAGTGAGGTGTCTTGGGAAAGAATTTCCATTTGAACTATCGCAGATGGAAGAGAATCTTATTGCAGCTGGAGGTGTTACCGAAATGTACCAAAAGTATGGTGCCAAGCTGTTTAGAGCTGCTGTATCCAATGGTACTGGTTGCGCTACTGAAGCTGAAAGTGGACGCGAGTGCGGTACTGCAGAATTGGCGTGGTAGTTGTATATGTAAAATAACATTATTGTAAAGTCTTTTCAATGTACTGTATTATTTGTTAAAACGTCGAACCACAACTCTGATTGTATAATTCTATTGCAAGATGGGATTCTGTGTGCACTGAAATGTCTCTTGATTCAGCCAAGCGAGCTTGCTAACTATATAAGTAAATAAAGAATACATCTTCTATATGATTACATATTATTGAGTCGTAAATACAATTCTCTCCATACAGCCTGTGGATTGTACAGAGCTATCTTAGGCTTTACTCCTGTTTTACATTGAAGAGTTTTCTTCATAATGTCATCAATATCTACAACCTTAAACACTTTCGCTAATGTAATCAGATCAGTTTCTGTAAAACCAAACCCATATTGAAACACTCGATCGCTTGATGGCAGTGAGTATTCCCAAGCATTGGCAGGAAGAATCTTATCCAACTTCTTGTTGCTAGTGTCTACAATGGCCACCATTGCTTTATCCAAATATGGGTTTTCCTAATAGATAAATGTGAATAGTTACATTAAAGAATTACACACCCTCACCCCCGCGTTTATTCTGCATGACATACCTTTAAAAACTCACTGAACATGTTTTTTATAAACCTATTTGCTTCAGTAAAATATCCTTTGTCTATGGATATTTGCACTGGAATCTCAAGATTATCAACGAGCGCAATTATCGGTTTACCATGAAATTTGCAGAGATAACAAGAGAGCGCTTTTAATGCATCTTCCCATTCTTTCCGAGATAAATCTCTGTTACACTCTATTATTTGTTGAAAGACTATTTGGCGAGCTGAATTCAAACTAGAAGAAACATACGAGTGTCTGCGATAAACACTCGAGATAAGATCCTGTAGACATTTATACATCGAATTCCAAGTATTGTTATCTACAGGGGTATTCTAAAACGTTGACAAGGTCAGTTACAATACATATGTACTAAATATCGATCGCACTTATCGTTTACTAACCAGAAAGTCAATGTAGATCACAGGAAATTGAGCAAAAAATGTTTCGAATGTTTCATGACGATTCTCGATCAAAAGTCCCTTGAAGAGAGCCCTTCTGGTCCGAAATTCTTCGTCAGAATCAAGCACAGACAAGAAATATGCAATCATTGACAGATTCGTTGTCTATACAAGATGGGGGTAATAAAAACAAAAGTTATTCACGATAGTTTCATTATATTTTCGTTTAATGAATTGAAATTTAACGGTTGCCCAGATAGATATCATATCATATTTTAGGTAGATTGCTTGCCTTCCCAAATCCATGAGGACGCTTAATCTGAAGGAAAATGTATTAACGAATAAGACAATTGCTTCGGAGCATTAGCAATCTCGAGAAAACATACGCACATACCACTGCTAATCGACCATTGAAATTGCAAAATTCGTCTATTAATAGTGACTTATCAACGAAAGACCAGCCCCCTTCAACCAACTTCTTAAAATCACGCGGTCTATCTGCATGTAACAAATGACGCGTAAATCGTTTTAGTAAACAAACAACCAATCAAGACTGTTAAACAAGCTATGCTAGCGCTATATTATATAAAAGTAGGTAAGTGAATAAGCTCCGAGGGTTGTCTTGTAAAGACAGCCGACTTTCTGTGTTGTAAGAGTTACCTGTCTCCAGTAATCTACTTGGTTTCGGTTTCCTAACTAACAACGTTCTTGCGACTACTATAACTAATGCCAATAAAAATAGAGCAGTCAACGTAAAACGATGGGGCTGGTTTATTATCTCTTCTATATATTGCATCCTGAACAGCCAGACAATCTAGGACTTCGAACGAAGAAGACTGTGTGTCGACGCGAATAGCTTTGGACTTTAGACGAATGGCTTGACCAATATCATGTGATATTAATGCAGAATTGTCGATCAATTCCAAATAAAATCAACATAACGTGTTCTGGTCAGCATAGCAAACTTTCTCTATGATTGGTCAGAATATTCCAGAAATATTATTGGTTGAATTTCATTGATGAATAATAATAATAATAACGATGATGATAAACAAATTGTTATCCAAACTTATACACTTGCTAAAGTATTTAGAGCTCTTGCAAAGCAGGTCTATATTTTTGTCATCTGATAAACAGTCTTCATCGCCAGTATTATCATCATTGACTTCTGTAATGTTCGCAGGATCTGCGATGTGACACAACTGCATTGCATCAAATGAACTCACTGTTCTCTGTACAATATACTGGCATTGACTTTCTAATTGAAACAAAAAGCACTCGTAATTATAGGCATGTCCACAAATCCTTCCTCGCAAGAATTGGTACATTCCTCCAAATCGCAGTATCTATTCATGTGGGGAGGTTGTGATGTATTCCAGGCCATTGGCAGTATTTTAACATAAACTCGAACTCCAAGTTCACGCGCACATGATATGCCGTTGAAAATCCGACTCAGAATAAATAACGTAATGGCGTTTATCTCATTTTGTGATACAATCAGCTGCCACTAAAACACTACCAGTACGCGTTGAGTTCCGTATTATTGTTTTTTGTTTACTTTGAGCTAAACACATTGATCAATAAAGCGTATTACTTTTGCAAAATTAAACTGTAAAGAAGTTAAGAATTTATGGAAGCAAGGCTACCGAAGCCCAACAGAAAGTTCTCGATCCTTGAACGATATTCGTAAAAATGGCAAATTTTCAGATATTCACCGTTCTGGTTGCCTCGCCAGATCGGTAGAATTGTAAATTCGAATCATTTTGTTACAGCAACTGGATTAAGGCTCGGCTTGAAGAAACACACCCAGATTTTGAAGTGAGTGAACAGACTATTCGTGACGAACTTTTCAGACTTGGTTATACTGCTGCTTTGCCAAGACGTGTTCCACTTCTTACTGAACAACCGGTTAGAATGGGCATAGAATCACTCTCATTATAACTGGTGCAAAGTAGTATTCTCTGATGAAACAACTCTGCAGATGTTCCGGAATACTTGCTTAGCTTGGTCAAAATCAAAAAAAAAAAAAAAAAAAAAAAAAAAACCTATTGCACCAATGGTAAAACATCCATTTAAACTCCATTTGTGGGGAGCAATTTGTGCACGTGGGAAGGTTGGATTGTACACATTTGTGGAGAATATGGACTGACATTTATATAAACAAATTTTTAATGAGAAAATTTGTATGATAATGCAACTAATATGTATGGGAATCAACGCTGGATTTTCCAGCAGGACAATACTTCAAAAGATGTTCGTGCAGATCTTGAAATTGGTATTACTACTCGATCGGATATAATAGATGCTCCATGTTGTTCATAATCACAAGCAATGTTATACTGGCCCTCCAAATCACAGTATTGGGCCTTCCTTTTTCCTGTTTTCTCATATTGGCTAGTTGGCATCTCAAAAACTGTCGTATTCTCGTTTTCGTGATAATATGAACGTCTTCTACAATAGAGCGTGAAAAAGTGCTTGTTATCTAACTTCCAAATTACTCCACTGCTTACCGAATTACTTTCACAATGTGTAGAGTAGAAGGTATGCTTTCGAAATTTTCTAGCGAATTTGTATTTGTGGCTTTCTGATATGTGTATGATTTATGTGTGTAACATTCTCCAGATTGTCCAATCAGATCAAATTGGCGATATTAGACAATGTGGATTTCGCACGGGCCAGAACATATTAATATGCACTTGAAATAAGAATCATCGTATTAACATTATAGATATAGTATTGCTTCTTAATCTGTTGTTCTAATAGAAAGCTTATCGCAACTGTAAGGAGATAGAGATAATATTTATAGTTAAATGCGATTGCATTCGTATATAAGATTATTTATTATACCAAATGCAATTTTTTATGATACGCTTATGATTAATACAATTAGTTCAAAGAGAAAGTGCAATCGCATAACTGCTAGTCAAACTCCCGAGTTGAGATCGCCTACATAATCAAATCGCTCGCGTAATAATTTTATTATCTACAGTAAGACAGATTTAAGATAAGAATAATTGTCAAAAAGTGTTTCTGAGTAAGCTTTATCAAATTTACTATAAACTGAAAATAGTTCATTATACTGTATGTAGGTCCGATTTACTTAACACGTCTCTTTGTCAAGGTCTCATAATAAGGGTTTATTGAAACTATAATTATTACTTTTAAAGCAAGTTGCCTCGATCTTACTATTCGGTTTAAAGGGGTCCACTTCTTTTGCCAATTTATTACTATCAATATTAGTATTAGCTGATACGTTACATCAACAACTTGGGATTGCATCCAGCCCATATGACTGCTAAGTTAGTTGTACGAGCGGATCAAGTCCACGTTTACAACAAACTCCTGTCAAAAGCCATTTATTAAATAATAAATCTACATTGATATATAAAAATTACAAAAAAATAATTACAAGATTCTTATTACAAAAAAGTTCACATTACCATTATAAAGCGACCTGAAAGGTCGACAAAAAGCTTTCTATGTATACAATTATACTGTTAATCTAATGCAAATCCACTTGATCATATTTCACAAAGCCACAGGTAACATGTGTTTGTCGCGGTTGTCATTCCGACTATCCTCTCCCTCTAAATTTGAATTGTCGTAAAAGTTCGCATCAAGACTGTCAATAACCGGACTCGCAAGGCCAGCTGATAAGTTTGTCCCGCTTTGCGTAGTAATTTCTTTTAGAATCCCGCCACCAAGTCCTTGCTGATCTACCAACTGTCGGAAGGGACTAGATATGCGGTATAATCGTGTCGGAGACAGATCAGATAGCGATGTCGTTACCAACGGATCGGTTAGTCCTTCATAGGTAAACTGATTGCTTACAACATTATACAACGTCATATCTTGCGAAAAATAATCATCCTGGTTGTTATACACGTTGTCATCCACCGGATCTCTTCTGTTGAGTCGCATGAGCGATCGAGGACTTATTATTCCAGGGCTTCGCATAAAGTTCATCCACGGCTCTGAAAATTCAGTTGAGGCCATATACCGCGGAGATAGGAAATCGGGTACCACAAACGAAGACAGACCAGCTAGATTCGAATCAGGAATAACGTCCTGAAACGAGGTATCCGGTTTGGAGCTCGGTTTCGAAGGTACGTGGGCACGATTCCAGTATTCCATTAAACCAGAATCGGTACTCTCGGGGCACATGATATCTTCGGTGCGACATTTACGCATTTGTTTAAGCATATGTATGAGCTTTCCAGCTATGTTCCAATACGGTCGCACCATTTCAAGATATCGTTCAGTTATGTTCAGACCTTGATGAGCAATTTCCACTACGGTCTTGTCATTACTAAATGTGTCATTAATATGCATAGTAGCAGTGGCGAAGATTGGATATAACGTAAACGGGCAGAGATTCGTACATTTCGCTTCGATAAGGGCTTCTGCAATTTTAGTCGTCCGTCTTGCAGAATCTGAGCACTTCTCAGCTGAAGTCTGAAAGAAAGCCAACTGAGACGCCGGAGCTGCTCCTGTTTGAAGAGTTGCTACATTCGGTCTATTTAATACCACTATAGAAACGTGATATAGCGTCTGTATGGCAGCATATGCCCCAATTGTACCGTTTTCAACATGATATTTGAGCGTATCCGACGACCATTTCAATTCTGGACTGAGACTTGTGTACCAAGACTCCAACTGATTTTCCAATTGAGCAAATTCTGAATTTGAATCCCACACGGGCAACGCATCGGCCGATCGCATTCTGTTAATGTACTGCCCTACTCTGCCAAGCAATATGCTGACGCTGCTTAGTGAAGCGAATATACCATCGGTGGAGAGAATAAATCGTTTTCCACATTTTACTGGTGATTCTGCTGGGCGGTCATCCATCATGTCACTTATGGCTGGATGCTCCTTACGCCATTCTTTGTCATCACATGGTTGTCTTATCTCGACATCGCCTTCATCGATTATTGTTGGGCGGCCGAGTGCACACGCAGCAAATCTATAGATAGAAGAGAGTGATTAGAAGAATGCACATTTGCTAAAGACAACTGATAAGTTGTATACGCAAGGCGTTACCTGTCAATAACGAAAGAAACCCAGAAGACCCTTCGGCGGATTTCGCGGTATATAAACGCTTGATGAGAATTTCCTTTCTTAGCATAAATGCACGATACGGGAGCGAACTCTTTATGCATTCCTAATGCCTGGGCCATTCTGTGTAAATTGCGTATTATCAATTAATTTCGTGAGAAAAGTGCGAGCTCCATTTATCCTCACCACGCCAATACTAACCTTACGGCCATTGCGGTGTACATCCATGAACGTGGTCCTCTCGCCGATCCGAAACTATGCATGCAGAGTAGAAGGATAGCTTTATAATATAGAAAACAATTTAGTACGGCGATTAATCCGTATACAATAATAGACCTTGCAAATATACCTTGAACACTTTCGACATTGGGATCATCAAATGACTCGGGCATGTATGAAATCGCTCTTTCAGCAAAAACTTCACCAGCAGAATGAGGCGGATCTTTCGCAATACCTGGTAAATCAGAATGACTATAAAAGAAAATTGTGTAAGAATTTGGTTGACCATACTCCAGTCGAACATATTGTTGATGTATTCTACAATTGCTCTATTCTACTTTCAACTTCTTAATTCAGTAAGAACACCATTCCCGTAAATAACGCACCGAGCAGCTAATGCACACAAAGCCCAAACCAGGAAGGGCGAAGCTTTCCTTGTCCTTAGTCTGTGCTTCAACGTAGGCTCATGAAACATCGGTGTGTGGTTGATCATGTGGTTAAAAAAGCACAAGAATAAATGATCTGTAATTTCGCTTGGCGGATAACCGTCTCCACGAGGAAATGCAAGTAGTGCTTGATTAAACATTGACGCGTTATATATCCCTGATTGAGCCGCGTTGGGAAGCGACGTTTCATTCACAGATAAATTCTGAGTCGCTTCATCGTCGGGGGGGATACATTCGCCCAAGCGTCTAAAACCGGGGTGAGCCGCTGTTTTGCCAAAAAACAAAAGGTCACCTTTATGATTTGCTTGACATGTGTTGTCATCTGATTCGTCGACAATTTTTGAATGGTCGGCGGAAACATCGTCACATGGTGATAATTGTCCATTATGAACGTTCAATTGCGGTTGTTCCCAGATATTTGTTTGTTGGATCGGATTTTGATACGTGTCATAATTTTCCAAGTTTGATAATTTTTTTAAGCTCGGTGGAGAGGCGGGGGGTATGTATGCTCTTTCAGGTGAAGAAGCCATACCGGTATCAGGATTGGCACTAAATATGTCGAAAGTAGCACCATTGCTCAGGCGCTGCTTCTTGGGCATTGATCCTAAAGAATTATCATCAATCACGCCTTGTTCTCTGAGCGGCTGTAGTAGTTTTTCCATTTGTTGGAGACGCTTTTCTAGACTCTCAACTAGGCCTACGCGTGGACCTCTCTTCTTTGTGCTTGGTAAATAGGTACAGGCTGTGCTTGTTCTTTTACAGTTGGCACAGGCGGGCTTTTCGCCACTGCATTTTACTTTTTTCTTTCGACAAGCATCGCATGCCTGAGTAAGTCGTTTTCTCTTGAGCGATTGTGACTGTGGCTGTGGTTGAGGTTGCGGTTGTCGGTGCTGTTCATGGTTAGTTGTCAATGAAGGGTCTGTTGAAGTGGAATATTCCATGAGTCTAGAGAAAGGATTATAAAGTGTAGGATTTGGAGCGGGGGTAAAATAGCGAATTTATTATTTATTTATTTATGTATTACCTGGAAATTTTTGTCTGGCAAAAACTTTTTCCATTTAGGAATAAAAGGTCAACTTATCTTGTACTAAAATGGGAGGACGAGGATTGCTAAATAGAGAACCGTGTGATATCTTAACTTTGATGATCTTCAAGATTTATATCATCTTCTGATCATATGACGTATCAATAATGGCCAGGCACGCATTCGGTTCCTTATTTGGCCGACATTCCGGAAATTAATAAGCAATTACGGATATCGCGGAACGGGATAATCATGGTGCCGAAAAGCCGAATAAGAAACGGCTTACAAATGCAATGCTACGCCACAACTGCGGCATCAGTCACGATTATTTGATTAACTAAATTAAGTAAGTTTCTGTTTCGCAGATAAGATGTAATAATAACAAATAATATTCCACAAGGCCCATGCTGAAATTTGATACAAAAAATCCATTGTTTTGGAACTTACTTCACGAATCAGATGGAGACTGCTTAAGTCGCATTGTTATCAGATTCTGTGCGCATAGAGATGCATTTCACGTGAGTTCCGCAGAAATAATACCGAAATGAATGGTAAGAACCAAGTCCTAATTCCACATGTCTAACCGTAGGAAGAATGGGGACTAATTGATTACGATCATGAAGACTTGTTTCAATACTACGGTCCATGTTCATCGAAATCTCCGTCATAATTGCTCTCCAAATTGAAAAGCAAAAGGTTCAAGCTTGCATTCTTGTTGTTTATAACCAATAGCAACATTTAATCTATAAAATTTATGTGCACCCTTCATATGGCGTACGATTAATTGAGCCCTGCATAATCAGTGTAAAGTAAAAGTTGTCGTGACTTTCGGATGCAAAGTATAAAAGAGGTTTTCATAACTGATCGGCAGATATCACGCCATTTGTCAATCTCATACATTAGCAATTGGGATATTTTGGATAAACGTTTAGAAGCAATATTCACGTATAAACAATCATAAACCGTGTGTCACCGAGTTTATAAATTTAAAACTGAATGCTTAATTAATATTCCGGTTGATGATAAACAACTGATTTTATTTATGGACAAACCAAATAACAGCAGGACTAATATTAGCACTTGCCAAGTATGGGAAAACTCTAACCGTTGTGTATATACAGTATATTTCGTATACAGCAGTAATCAAGTCTTGATTTGAGGCGAGATATTGTGTCATTAGAGATACGAGCATGGAAGAAGAAAAAGTTGGCATACATATTGCATATGCGCGATTAGGCTAGTATAAGTAGTCCCTAAGACATTGGTTATCGAAAACTTTTTTCCAGTACTAATATTAATGCCGAACTATGATGTAAGAGAGTGTAAAAACACTCAATTTTGTCTGTAGAAAATATTAAAAAAGAGAGAGAGAAATCCATTGTCTTGTAAAATAACATTACTTTATTAACAGCGATGGTTTACGTCTAATGTAAATCCTAATGTTCACGCGATATTATTCTTCTGGTGGTAAATACAGTATATTGATATGCCATTATACTGTACATACTGTATGTCCCATAACCGATATAATTTTAGAATACAATACCAATACACGTGTTTTTACGATTAACACAGAATTTGTTCTTCACTTTTCTCATTAATTTTATCTCCAGTTTTTGATATACGTTTCCCCACCCCCCCGTTCCCTTCAGAGTGCTTTAATCTTTAATGCTTAATCTCATCTGAATTCTTGTTTAAGAAACTACTTTTTCAGAGATAGCCCTGCTGCTAACAACTTAATTAAGAAAATGGGCAATTTAATTCCTCGATGTGTTAAGTGCTTTTTGCTACGCTCATGATTATTCCACACGTCTTTTCATCATCTAACGACGAGCAAAATTTTCACACGCCTTTGATAATTATCGCATCGTTGCTTAACACAGTAAGATCAATGATTACAGGTTGTTCCTCTCAACAAAGTAGGATGTTTATAATTGCCTGCTTGCAGCCTTCCAATCAGTAGAGTCACATATCCAAAGTAAAGCCATAATTTGATTAAACAGATACATTACTTGCGCTAGACTCGACAGTAATTTCGCAGCGCTTTGTAAATGGCAGATGAGTATCCTCGCTCAGATATCAAGTGTCGACTCGACAGTATGGGACAAAAATCTTGCTCTCGATAGTCATGGTTTAATCATGTGATGCTCGACGTATTTGAAGTAAATAATGGTTACTATATATTTAACGCGTATCGCGTCTTGTAAGTTTTTGTTTCCTCATTGCACTTTGAAACCGTTACATTGTCAATTATTTTTCAAACAACAATTCAAATGCTCGCACAAGATAAAAAATCAACACCTGGAATCAAGGGATGCGATCTCCTCTAGAAATTCATAAAAACTAACATCCCAATTAGGACAATTAAATATAAAATAAAAGACACTGGCAGTGTTGCACGTAAACAAGGAAGCGGTCGTCCTAAAAAAATCACTGCCCAGTGCATCCAAGGCATCGAGGCGAAATCCAACTACCTCATCTCGAAAGATGGTGGCTAATTGGCTGAAAAAGGTCTTGAACTATCTTCTCAAGACATTTGGGAGGCCTGGGCTATAAGAATAATGTGCCTGTGGCTACCCCCAATGCTTACCGATAATCATAAACGAATACGAATTGAATGGGCTTATGCTCACCTTAATGATAACTGGCAGAAAACCCTTTTTACCATAACGCAATGGTATAAAGGCTCCGTCCTATCCCAAAAAATCGTGTCAAAATTTTTGCTTGGGGTGGATTTTGCGCGAAGGGCACAAGCCTTAATTGCTTTCAAGACATAATGACAGTGTCAATCTACGTTGAAATTCTTCAGAGGCACTTACCTGAAATACGACAAATGCTCGGATGAGTCTGGCGCTTTCAACAAGACAACAATCCGAAGCATACGAGCTCTGTCGCTAAACAATTTCTTCAGGTCAATATGCCCATAGTTAGTTATTACTGGCCGTCGAATAGCCTGATCTCAATCCAATAGAAAATCTATGGAGCATAGTTAAAACTAATGTAGAAAGGCGAAGACCAACAAATCTTGATGAATTAAGGCGGTTTATGGTAGAAGAATGGGATAGTATTCCGGATTCCATTGTGAGGCGATTATAAAATCTGTGCGTTTTACAGTTTTAAATGAGGTATTTTGAGTCCCAATTCACTGCTCATTATAAAGTTATTGGCAAGATTTTTTGTCCCATACTGTATATACAGTACCTTCATATTAATGGTTTGAGAAAGTTTTACTTTATTGTTTATAAATGCATTGTTTGAATACAGCGAAAAAACTTTGTGCAATACACAACATTTCTGTATCATCGTCTTTACCGCTGCCCTTGTTCCATCTCCTCCATTTCCTTTTTTTCTTGTGTCCTATTTCTCATCTATCCTGTTTATGTCTCTATATCGCTCTCAGTGTCTCTCTCGATCACCTTTTGTTCTTTTACATTGTTACTGTCTCGTTTCTCCCATTCATTATCACTTATACTCCTATCCCTGTCTCGACCTTTGTCTCTTTCTCTTTCTTTCTCCCATTCTCTTTCGCTGTCTCTGTCCCTGTCCCTGTCCCTGTCTCTGTCTCTGTCTCTGTCTCTGTCTCTGTCTCTGTCTCTGTCTCTGTCTCTGTCTCTGCCCCTGTCTCTATCTCTATCTCTATCTCTATCTCTGTCTCTATCTCTGTCTCTGTCCCTGTCTCTGTCCCCATCTCTGTCCCTGTCTCTGTCTCTGTCCCTGTCCCTGTCCCTGTCTCTTTCTCTTTCTCTTTCTCTTTCTCTCTCCCATTCTCTTTCGCTGTCCCTGTCTCTGTCCCTGTCTCTGTATCTGTATCTGTCTCTGTCTCTGTCCCTGTCCCTATATCTGTCCCCATCTCTTTCAAAGTCCCTATCTCCCTCTCTTTCTTTATACCTCTTCCTCTCCCTTTCTCTTTCCTCTTCTCTGTCTCTATCCCCGGATCTGTCTCTTTTTCTATCCCTATCATGATTCCTGTCTCGCTCTCGATCCCTGTCTCTTACATCGCGAGTATCTATTAAAAATTTACGTCGATCTTCGCGTTCTTTTTCTCGAAGTGCAATGCGCTCCTTCCGCTTTCGTTCCTGATATTCTTTATCGAATGCAGAACCTTCTACATAATTGTCGGTATCGATATCAAAAGCGCGGGCAAATTTAGCGTTTTCGCGCGCCTTAGCCTCCGAGATTTGGTGTGTTTGATGTTCTTGTAAACTAGTATAGCGAAATTGTAATTAGTAACGATTTGTCCATGTAAGAGGTTCCGATCTACAAATGAGATCGCATAAATATTATGTCATTCGATTCGATTTACTTACTTTTTCTCCAAGGGCATTTCATTTATCTTTTCGAGTAAGGTTTGACGAAACTGCGCAATTTTCTCTTGCGCTTCTTCTTCCGGAACACTAATCAATAGAATAATAAGATCAGCAACATTGCCGACTTTTATTCAGCCCACATTCTACAAGCCAGCTTTGGCAATACTTACTTCTTCTCCGCTAATTCTTGCTTGTACTTCAAAAGCTGAATCTCAGTCTTCCTTTGTAGTTCGTGCAATAAGATCTCCTTATTCGGAGTCCTATTAGCAAATGATGGAACAGGTGCTTTGCTGTCCTCAGAGCTTTGCTGTCTCGGACGTATGTAAGAAAGATTTCGGACGACATAACCGTTGGTACCCGAACCACGGGGAGTAGTAAGACCAACGTTGCCATACATTATGATGGTTGTCTGAATCGAAAAGGCTGAACTTTCATATATTGCACAAGTCAGGTTATTATTAATTATTAGATCATCTGACGTGAATATTCCTGATTGTACAACCAAATTGCCAAATGATTGGGTACGTACCTGTTTAGAGAGTTAACATCCTTACCCCCGAGATTGGCGCATCATCTTGTGTTGTGAGCCCAAAACACTCTCAATAAGTCAATTAATGTTCGAAAAGTCGGCATTTGGGAATAGGAATGTTTTCACAATGAACCAATTGAAGACAGGCATTGGAATTGCTTTGGGATATAAAAATCAATCGGATACCAAAGTTGGATTTTTCAGACACTTCACAATCAGAGCCAACCAATTTGTCAACGAGACTTAACGTCTTTGGCGAGGAGCCAGAACTAGTACCATCAGTTTATCAAAGATTACTCGGTCTAGAACGTTACTACGAAAGCCCGATACATTCCCTTGCGTCGGTCACAATGGTAACCTAAAAAAAAGTAACACACAAAGAAGGCGTACCCAGATGTTCTGAATTCTTTTTATGACCATTGAATACGCCATTGAATACTTTTATGACAATTTGTCATACCATTACATTGATAAAGGTCGCCCGTCTTTGTTGAATCGTCCAATAAGTACTATGAGTTTAGGGATCCGGGCCCAGAAATTATGTGGTGTAAAGTTACGCCATTACCTGGAGTACCCAATACCAACGGCAATACTCGCGTGTAGCATAACTTTAAAAACAAGATTTATTGAGGGAATAGGATTCGGAGGGGAATGTATGTGCAAACAGTCTCTTGTTTTGCTGCATCTACTTTTTTGGCCCAGATCACGGTCTACTTTATTCGTATACAAACCATACTGAACCTGTCAAGAGCACTATAGTACAAGATGGGCGATTTTACGTTACCCTTCTACTCGTTCATTCGACTTTCCTTTCAGTTTTTTGTTTTCGGAGCTTTGGCATTGGTAAGGGAACGGGAGGGTTGTTGCTCAGGTTATTGAACGAGTAGATTGCTTGATAACAACAACAGTACAAAACGTTGCCGTAACTCTATGATTCCTTTCTCACAGATGTTTGCCCACAACTCCATCGTGTCCGCCTTTTACTTCAAAACGCGCCAACGCAACCTCTCAAACTTCCTTAAGATAATCTTCAATTTCTCGGGATGTCTAAGAAATTGTCTGATTTTTGCATCAACTCTGCTTGGACCAGATGTGACCACGCCTCTCTGCATAGGAGTGGTTGTTCCTACCAATGTTACCCAATTCATGTTTCTGTCATCTTTGACTCTCTTCATGATATGGAGATTACGGCAAATTGAAAGCAAAACTTATGATTCAGCTATTTGCGGCTTTCTATTCTTTGGAAGAATTGTCGTGCAAGTAAGTATCACTTCCCCGTCGCAGTAAAATTGACGCATATTCTGTTAACAGTTTTCTTGGATTTTAGCTTACTCAAGTTGTGATGTCGGTACCAGTGGCGGAAGAATCCCCTGACATACCCGGAGCATATTTTTGTAAGATGCATATAGAGGAAAAGACGACTAGGGCATTGTTTTACACATATCATGTTCTTGATGTCTTAATCGACATTTATGTTACAATACGGCTTGTCTATATTCTTCACAAGGCCAATACTAATGCAAAGCGTGTGGCGGCGGCCAACATGCGCCACTCACCCCCCAAACGTAGTTTATTCACAGCCATCATGTACTGGAATTTCGTGCGCTTGCTTGCTACATTCTTACACTACAGTGTAACCCTTTCTGGAGTCATTACATCCCAAGAGAATCCCTTCAAATACTGGACGTTCCAGCTGTTTGCTCTGATAATATTAAGCTATTCTATTACTGTTGATGCAGAAATTGTAAAGGTTGTTGGAGGAAGACCTGTAAGCTCGAATAAGGGAGGCATCGCAGGCGGTACAGGCAAGAAATCTTACCAAGCTAGCCTGCCGTCTCCACGGGCACCGCCATCTTATAAAAGCCAGGTGGTTGCATCGAACAATAATGACAATAGCCCGCAATCATCATATGCGCAACAACCTGGTTCGCTACCCGTTTACGAAGAAGTGAATGGCCAAACAATGGCATTATCGGTCAAGCGAGCGTCCTTTTTTGAATTGGCTTCAACGAGTCTGGGGTTCCATAGTAACGATTTAGATGAACAGTACAAGGACCGTGATATCGAAAAGGCAGAAGTCAACGACTCTATTGAAATAGTCCAGGATGAGGAGCCTATATCAGGGGAGCGAATTGTTGAGGAATCCGACGTGGACGCAGTAGACACGGATCAAAGATGTAGCAGCACAATCAGCGGTGACACGGCCATTAACGTAACACAAGTTTCTGTTGACGATAAATCGGTTATCCTTGAGCTTTAACATTTCAGTTATTATGATTCATGTAAATTCCGAGTTGTTCAATCGCTGACTGTATATTCAATCTTCATTATTCATTATTAGTATTGAAACGAAGTTTCTCATTCTCATTTAATTTATGTGATAAACTCGATCATTTGTATTTAAATTTGCAATAAACAAACGTTGACTTGTAAAGATTAATATGTAATTTGTTCTGCGGATGGATTATATTTCCTGCAAGCAATGCCCATTTTCAACTCGATCCAAACAGTCCCACAATTCCGGCACTTCCCTCCTATTTTTTGAATGCTCCCACACCAGCTGCGAGTATAGGCCTCGTTTGGATAATAACATGGACCCCTAATTCTTCTGCTTTAGCCACCAGGCGTTGGCAAAACTGATAGTGGCCCCAGCAGAGCATTTTCGTGTTCGACACCTCAAAAGGAGAGATGATAATGGCATCGAATTCGCGAGTGAAAAATGCGACACTCTTGAAGTTCGCTTGCAGGTGTTTGATTTTTCGTCGCATCCGAAAGATTGCCTTATCAAGTCGCAAGGCCTGTTTCTTCTTACATTTCGAACTAGAGGCAGCGAGCTTGTTCTTTATAGAAAGGAGATTGTCAATATGCTTGCATAGGCGAATAATTCGCCCAATGTCGTACTGGCCAATTTTACCTACGCCTTTAGTGGGAGAGTACCATGTGAAGGGTGTACGAACGCCAGGGTCGATGGAATAGAACCATCCGCTTGGGTTTCGCGGAGTTGTTTTTGCGTCTCGTAAACCCATGAAAATTTCCATTCATTAGTTTTGCGAATATATGTACGCTTGCAATCGGACGTTATTCTGTGAGGAACAGGCCACTTATTATTACGCCCACAAATCGCGGGGGTCGGAAAGCATTGACGGATTACGAGATGCACATGAATTATTATTGTCGTAAATCTTTTCGGGATCGAAATGACAAAAACAAACTTCTTTGCTGATTCGTATATTTTGATTGGGGTCCGTATTATTTCATCGACAATCATTTCACCGACAGTACAATTAACTACCAAAAAAGGATAACTTCGAAATAACGTTGGCGAATATTTGCCTCCCTTTTGATTGATATCTTGTCCCTAGCAGTTAATGCTTCATCGATAATGTTTGCAGGCGCTTTGCCATGTGTACAGTACCTTGAAGGAGCATTCCAATACGCGTGACAGTTTGCACGAATTTGCATTCACCCCATATGCATTATCCTTTGGAGTCTCTTGTCCTGAGGACCTCTTTTTGTTTGAACCCCTTTTTTGATGGTGGCTTTGGCGGTGGTGGTGGTGGTGTTAGCATTGAGGGGAGAGATTATGTGTTTACGATTTTCAAATGAGCAATATTGCAATGGTTAAAGAGTTTGGGGATAATGTCTTTAAATATGTTTATGGTTGTCGATATTTGAATGCATGCAATTCGAATTTTTTTGATACGTTCCGTTATATATTAGAGGGTTAAACAAAATTCTATTATTTTACATTAATTCCGATTACAACATCGCAAAATCCATCCTAATTTTCTATTAATTAAAATTATTACAGCCATCCCCACAGAAATCAAACGAACATGATTTTTAAATCCGTATTGTCGTACTTATAAATTATCAGTCAAGTATACACGTAGAACAAGATTATTGTAGACATAAAGAGGTTCAAACAACTGCAAAGACTGTTTATTTAAGAGTTACACGCAAGGAAGAGAATTTGTAAAGAAAGTACAAAGATACATAATTATTGAATCACTTTTTTTTGGGAAAGATATTGCAACGACCGCGAATTTCCGTCATGGTGGCACACTTCAAACGAAACAAGCATCTCGTATGGGCAGATTTCCTCCATGGCCTGGCATTTGCAAAAGCGTAGGAACGGCATCTATAGGTCTCACAGGTACGTAATCATCCTCATTGAAGCTATAGAACGTGTTGAACAAATGTCCTTTGCCGTTGTTTAAGGTTCGGTTGACAAAAATGTCACCATGAAAATCCACGTTTCCAATGTTGTTAAGCACACCGAACATTGGAATTGGATCTTTTTCGTTTGCATAGTGCTCAATGCGACGAACAAGCCTACCAGGATTGACGAATTCTCTAGCTGCATTGGCAAATGTGTACACTTCAAGTTTCTTGAGACGGTCTTGCTTACCCGAACGGCTTAATTCAATGTATAGATTCGTCAGAACCAAACCGGCTATTACACCGCCCTGTGAATGTGCAACCATACGGACGGTCTTGACCTTTTCGTCTTTGAGTGCTGGAATTATTCTGCTCACGGCCCAGCGTACTGATACTGTTTCGATATTAAAGCTTCTCTGGAGGAAAGTTTCAATGACATCCCAGAAAGGGCCATAACTTTTGTTATGAATGCCGGTGACACCCCTACCAAAACGCTTCTCCAAATATTTGCAGTTTTGTTCCAACAATTGTTTATCTATGAGCACACCATTAATGAAAAACCATTTTTCGTCCGGGTGTGCATTTTCTAGCGTGCCAGAAGGGTCGCGAATGGATTCTCTGTCCAAAGCTTTCAACATCATGAGAGGATAAAATACAAAAATAGGGAGTGTGAGGATGGTTGCCACAGTCAGAAATATTATACTACACCAGTTTGGAAGGTATTTAAGATTAAGTTCGCTCGTCGGTTCATTCGGATTTGCCACGGGGTCAAAGCGTATGGCAAAGATGCTGTTGCGAAGGAGGAACTCGACTACAAAGTCACGCAAATGGTCAACAAAGATCCATTTCAAATCCCTGCTGAGAAGTACCCAAGGGTTTGCCATATATGATTGGTAGTGGATGAATTCAGGAAGCGTATATACTAAAGGTTATGTTTAGCGTTCCTTATATACAGACAAATAAACTGTGCTTCTGAGATCGAATCTGGAAACGAATAATGGATAAATAAACATATCGTCTGTTTGTCAAATATAGGAGCAAATAGCTAAAAATGAATATCTCTATTACTATTAATATTCAGCGTGGTTTGCTTTGCCACCCGAATATCCCACGTTTTGTGAAATAGCACGTGTCGCTCTCATCTTTTGGTAAAGAGCTGTCGGAGATAAGACAGTAACATTGGGGATAGAAAAATTGGGGTTGCTGTCTGCAACAAATGTGGCGATTTGTTTATTGACATCAGAACAATGAATACATTGAATAGAATTCACACAGCAGACCGCAGCGACTGCGATACTATATAACAATCTGATACATATAAGCGACAGTACGTACGTACGTATGTAGAACGTTTAATGATTACCACTCCTAATCAACGGAGCAAACTTGCATCTTTTAACAATTGGTCGACTATTATTAGTAATGTCACGTACGTTTGTTACGCTGCACTACGTAATTAGTAGAAAGACTAGATATCACACCTAATCCGAAGATTAAAATCTCATCAATCTCATCAGTTGATAATGAACCAACAAAAGCGAAAAACTCCGCGTACAGAGAATCGCAATAAAATGAAAAAGACAGAAGCATCGCTGAGAAGATTGAACAGTGTGTAATAATTTTTTTTCTATATAGCAGATTCGGATTATGAAGAAAACTCGTTAATAAAAACGTGTATTCTGGGCACAGTATTATAGTATACGTAATTACAGTAACTTTTTGAATTAATTCTTCGTGTCCATTGATTTTGATTATCGGATTATTTGTCACTGTTCTCATTATCCATCATTAATCATGCGAACTCTGCTTTTGTATCAGCAAAACTTGTCGTAGTGAGTGACTATTGCTTTTTATTAGTTGCACAATAAAATAGCTATTTGTTGCAAACAACTACCAATTTTAGTGATTTGATTGTTGAGGCTTAACTAGGTCGACAGTGGAATTAACATGCCCTACGAATACAGAGATGCACAGAATGTTCTTCATAGAAGAAGATATGAATGTATACCCGTAGATGATTACATCGAATTTCCAAATTTGGGAACCCTTTTTCTAACGCATACGTACGTATTAGAAACAATCGACTAAAAATCAATCCATTAAGCATTATAATTACCGATTGTCGCCAAGATTATGTCGCGAGCACAAACTTCCGTTATCTCCAATATTATTTATTCACCCCAACGTTTAAAATTCAAACAGACTTTTAGTCCAAAAAAGTTATGATGTCCGTTGTCTAACGTTTATCATACTGTCTCGTTCAGGGAAGATAAAAATAGCCCGTCTTACCAGAATCTTATAATAGTTACCGCTTTGGGAATGCAATTGTAGCATTATTTTTAGCGCCGCTCAACAGTGGATTCCGTAGGGGAAAAAAGTTTATAACCCGATTTTTCCCCTAAATATGAATTTCAATATTGCGCCATCTCTGTTTACTACTGTCATTCTTTATATTGATGGAAAACCCTTGGATTCTTTTCAACAAAGACCTCTATTGGGTCTTATGGTCTAATTTGCATGACGTAATTTTTGAGTTTGTAATCCGTAACAGCATTCTGGCAATAAGATTCGACCCCGTTACCGACCCCGGTGCACCAACCAGCGAAATTAACCTTTCGTATAGCAAAAACCGCCTTAGTGTATTGCGCCAGCTTCTGGTAACCTTACTCACGCTGCCGATTTTTATAGCATATCCTCTTGTAAGGTTTAAGGCTTTGGAAAAGGAAATAATTCGCAAGCCCTCACCAGGCTTAACGGCCTACCCGGACGAACGCTGGTTTTACATCAATGGTGTGATCACTGATGTCGGATGGCTGGACCAAAATTGTAAATATTTGGAAAAACGGTTTGGTAGAGGAGTTGTAGGAATTCTTAACAGATCGTACGGTGCTTTCTGGGATTTGGTGGAATCCGTCCTCCAGCGAAGCTTTGATATCGAAACCATCTCGGTGCGCTGGGCTGCGTGGAATATTCTCCCATCACTTAGAGATGATAATATAAAGACTGTCAGATTGATTGCTCATTCGCAGGGTGCTATCATAGCACATTTGGCCATAAAAAAGTTATACACCGAACTAAGTTGCACGGGGGAACAGGATTATCTCAAGAAACTTGAAGTATACACATTTGCAAATGCAGCGAGAGACTTTCTAAATCCTGGAAACCTTATTCGTCGTATTGAACATTATGCAAACAGCCAGGATCCAGTTTGCAAAATCGGTGTTCTCGCCCGACTCGACAGTGATCGGTTCCAGGGTAAAGTTTTTATCAACGAAAAGAGAAACAAAGGCAAGGGACATTTTTTCAACTCATTTTATAGTCTTGTCGAAAGTGACTACATACCTGCGAGATCTAGCAGTGACATTCCTACGTTATTGCAAATGCCCGGACACGTGAGCAATTTACCCATACAAATTGACTAATATGCATATTAAACAATATTAAAAATATCTCTTCGTAGGAGGTTTATATGTTAAGTGTTAATGGGTATCCGTTTGACGATTGTATTAAATTCAGTACAGCTATTAAAATATCTTTCACTATCACGCATTCAAGACTAGTTTGCACACAATTGTTATTGGCAAATCAATTTTTGCACAAGAAACCAGTGTACATTCTAACATAAGTTGAATAGAATCAGTATGTTCTTTTGCAAAATCCAAACTTACTACAATGGATTTACGAGAATATTTCGACGGTGACATATGCCAAATTTCGTGGAATCTGTTTTTTATCAAAAAGAATAGCTGCTAAAGCACTTTTACATATGCGTTGCATATACATTAGTATTTTTTCTTTTCTTGTACTACAATATCGCAACATGGCTTTACATCGGTTTTTTTCTTTCTTTTGGGATAGCCCATAATGAGATTCTTGCTACGATGGTCGATAAGGTCGTTGTTTGATTGGCGGATATTAATAGTGTGTATTACCACATTAGTTTTTTAAACAGCTTAAACTGGGCTTTTAGCGAGCGCCTCGTTCTGAATAAAAGTTTCTCGCGATATACCACATTAGTTTGCCAATATTATTAGCGAGAATATGCAAATAGCAATGAATTGACAACGATAAATGTTTCATAAAAACTTTACAAAAAAAGATTTCTTTCAAGCAAGAAATATAAATAAGCACATAGGCTCGTAACGATTTAAAAATAATCATAACAATCGCAGCGATTCATATGGTTAACAGTATACGACATACTATATATAGTGTGTTTCTCACTGACATGGCTAGAATGTAAATTTCAGAATCTATATTGACACAGAATGCACAAAGCTTTTTATTGGCGCAGGTCATAAAAACTTGCATTTTACAATATCACTTGTATGTGTGAATAAGTTTAAGATGTTTTTTTAATGAAAACACTCAACATTACAATTACATTCTAGGACTGGCATCGCAGTATCAAATATTTAAAAACTGTAAGGATAACAGATTATTTGATGTGATTAAGCTGTTTGCGCCAACAATCATATATTCTAGGTTCATGTGATGTCTATTACTCGTGGTACAGATGGCTGGTCACTGTGGCGTAGTAATAATCAATTAAACTTATTATTATCCCCCTCCCCAAAATCCCTTGATTATGTCTTCTTCCATTGATCCTTCGCAGGCTAGCGCCAAACCAGGCGCTGCACCAGCCGCTGCTACAGAGGCTGTGCTTGTCCGCTCTGTTTCTATGCCAGATACGGCGGTGACAGTGGAGGGTCCGGATTTTAACAAAGACTTATCGTTACATGAGTTGCTGGAAAAATACACGAGAGTGGGTTTCCAGGCTACAAGCATCGGAAGGGCTATAAAAGTTATTAATGACATGGTTAGTTTTCGATGATGGACAACGCGCAGAGGATTGAATACTAGTGTTCCGAGAGTCTAGTCTTACATTAATTCCTCTGTTAACAGTACGTCTCTATCCTTTGCTCTTTACAATTATCAATGTGTTACTATCCTTCAAACGATCCTTTTATCTTTCTAATGGAAGATAACCTGGCGTCTTGTCGATGATCCAATCCTACCAGACGAGTCACCTGAATATACTGACCCAGTCACTCGCGCAAACACAAAGTGCAAGATTTTCTTTGGTTACACGTCGAATCTCGTATCCTCTGGCCTACGAGAGGTCATACGATTTCTGGTACAACACTCCATGGTTGATGTGCTGGTAGCCACGGCGGGCGGAGTCGAAGAGGATTTTATCAAGTGTCTGGGAAAGACGTATTTGAGTTCGTTTGAAGAAAAAGGAAGCGACTTGAGGAAGAAAGGCTTGAATAGAATTGGGAATTTAGTGGTGCCAAACGACAACTATTGCGTGTTTGAGGATTGGATGATGCCTATTTTGGATAAGATGCTGAAAGAACAGAAGGAGCAGGTGTGTGGAGAGAGTGGGAGAAGGAATAGTAGGATGGTTTTTGATTTGAGCTGCGGTCAATCTTGATTAATTTGGTGTTACAGGGAATAGTATGGTCTCCTTCAAAAATCATTCACCGTCTGGGAAAAGAGATTGACAATCCAGATTCAATATATTATTGGGCATATAAGGTATGGATTAACGATTAGCTAGCAACTTTGAGCATTCCCTATCGCTTTCTGTTTATTTATTTGGGCATGTTTTTCAGAATAATATACCCGTCTATTGCCCAGCCCTAACAGATGGCTCGTTAGGTGACATGATATACTTCCATACATACAAAAATCCGGGTCTAGTCGTTGATATTGTTGCGGATATAAGATCGCTGAATGACCATGCATTCACTGCGAAAAAGTCTGGGATGATTATTCTAGGGGGTGGAGTGATTAAACATCAGATTTGTAACGCAAACTTGATGGTGTGTTTTACAGCTCAAGCAAACTCTGTTACTGATTTTATCAAAGCTAACGGCTAAGCATTTGGTCATTCTCTTAGAGAAATGGGGCTGATTACGCAGTATATATCAACACTGGCCAAGAGTTTGACGGAAGCGATGCCGGCGCACGACCTGACGAAGCCATCAGTTGGGGGAAAATCAAAATGACTGCTGAACCAGTAAAGGTTAGACTGGAGTGTGAATGTAAATGTTATGTGGGATTTTGTAGTTTCTGACTCTTTTTTCTTCAGGTGTACGCGGATGCTACTATAGTGTTTCCGTTGATCGTTGCAGAGACATTTGCTAAGCACTTCCATGAGAAAAAGAAGGTCTAATGAGGAAGATGATTAGAAATTTGAATGTGTTATGCATACCTTTAAGTATGCATAGGCACTGC